TGAGCGCTGGGGCTACTTAATCTTAACTGCAAGTGAATTTAGGGTTTATGCTTAGGACAGTGAGGCCTTGAACCTCTTTCTGAGGTATTTGTTTTCTGTCTATTCTGCGGCAGTGGGCCTGAAAGCCTGCTGGACTGGGCCAGTCCTCAGGGAGCATGAGCGGAGCCTTTACTCACAGGCAGTTTCCACCTCTGGTGGTCTGCCAGCGCCTCCTCATGGACTTCCCATTCTCCATGATTTCCTCTGTCAGATCGTAATTCACATGTCACTGGCCTCCTGGTTTAAGGTTGCAAGTTAAGATTATGCTTGCTTCCTTTATAATTCATGGTAATTTAGAGCCTGTCATTATATCTGATATTTTGAGTATTTTGAATCACAGGCTGTTGTGAGCTCTTGAAGGATTTTTACTACTCTTCTATAATCCTATAAAAGTAATGTGTTAGAAGAGCATAATTTAAGTAGCTCAACAGAAAAAAGTGTTGCGCATATAAAATGAAAACTAAAATGTCTCCCCCTTCACCTATATACCCAGTCTCACGCTTAAATCTTCTGGTCACTGTCTCTGTAATGCAAAAATAATTTTCTCATACTTCTGTTTCTTGACTTACCAGGTTTAAGTTGAAATTATTAAATTGTTCCTGTGCAAGATGAGGAATTTAGCTTACTGACAGTAATCCTTCTGCCCTGCCCTGTCCATGAGTCTTTCAATTTTTGTTAATGTGCTTTCAGTTTTGTTTTCCACTTGATTACCCTGTGAATCTAAGGGATCGACTTAGACTTGTAGTGCTTGATCACTCACTCCTCCATGGCATGTCTTGTTTGTTGGAAGTGTTTATCACTGCTTCCTTGCTTCTTCTCTCTCTCTCCAACAACAACTTGCAATATAATTTTATGATATTTGAATCTATTCTGTAATTATAATAAATTCTTTTTTACCTGTAGCATGAGTATTAAAATTAAAAACAAATATGTAACCTTTGTGGCATAATGGTTTTGTAGCTACTAGTTCCTAAAGACAAGTTCATGTTGTTTAAACCCGTAGAGATGGGGGATGGACTCTGATGGCACTGACTTTCTGCTCTATGAAGGAGAATGATTTAAGTGTCAAGGTCAAATGGATTCTCTTTTTTTTCCTTTCTTCTGCCAGCTGCTCAGATAATTTGTCTTCATATATAAAACATGACATTCTAAAGAATACTTTGTTTTCATGGAATTTCTAATTTCATTTATTTTATACCAATTGAGAAACCAGCTTTTTAATCATATCCTTTGTTATAATTTATTCTTGAGAGATTTTTCTCAGGACCCTCTACTCTTTGCTAATTGGAACAATTACCTTGAAAGCTGACTGAGATGTGGTCACTCTGGAATTGCACTCTGCAATTGTACTCCTGGTGAGGTCCACTGTGGCTTCCATGCAGCGTCCTTTTTCTTGAATTTTCTTTGCATTGCTTGGGAGCATATACTCAAATTTTTTTTAAAGATTTATTTATTTATTTATACAAGCACTGGGTACAGTCAGAAACGCGGGAGGGTGAGAGAATTTACCAGATCCATAACGGGGAACAGAACAGGTAAACCCAGGAAATACACTGCTGAGGGGAGCGGCGGGCGCAGCAGGAGAGGTCTGCATGCCTTGTGGGACCCTCGCCGGTGGCCGGGGATCGAACCAGCGCTGCAGAGGCTTACGGGGAGATTTGTAGCCCAGCACTCAACCACTGCGCCACTAGGGGAGGCCCTCAAATATTTTTTTGAATAGAGTCAGTTAGTGTCTGAAAAATTTGCCTTCAAACTTGATTGTTAATGAAACATGGAAGTAATTGTACATAGTCAATTTAATTATCTGACCAATTTTCTATGCAATGTAATCTATTTTCTATATAGAAAAATTTCAAAATTAAGTATTTTTGGTACAAATTTCAGTTTTGTACAGATTAGAACCATTCCAAATTTTACCAATTTGGTTTTTTTAAATTAATTTGCTAATGCAACTAATTTTGTGGAACTATTTCCAAAGTTCAGTTCTCCTGTCTACTTTCATAAAAGAGTATTCAGTATTCCTCATTTGTTTCCTACAGTTACGAAGAACTTTTTACTCCTGATGACTTCATTTTATCATATTTTGAGTTGCTAATTTTTATAAACTTCTCATTTTTTCCAGGATCAATTTTTGTAGTTTTCAATTTTACCTTTAAGATGCAGTTCTTCCTTTATTTCACATCTACAACAAATATTAAAGTTACAGTTTCAAGGGTTATTGTTTTATTTTGTGTTATTTATTTTTATAGAGTCTTCTGTCTTCAAGACCCCAGTCTTCAGGGTCAGAATGGCAGGCTGATGGTGTCCATTTTCTTCTTTAATAGTCTGAATGTTATGGAACAGTCCTCCACTGGATTCCTTGCTGCATCTTAGCCTAAGATTCAGTTTTTGCCAGCCAGGGGCTTTCTCAACTCAACTATTTTATAGGTTCAACTAGTATCCATATGCTGTGACTGCCAAAAACCTCACCTCAGTCTTAAAAGCCTTTCAGGAGTTCTAGAGGCAAATGCAGTTGAATTTCACTAAATGCCTACTTCATTTAAACAAGTTCAATCATGTGTGTGCATGAGTGAGAATGGGAGGTAGAGAGAGTAATTTAAGTAATATGGCCAATCCTGTCATTTGGATGCATCAATAAAGAGTTTGATCCTGACTGAACATGGCATAGAATATATTCCCATATTTGGTTTCAGTCAACATATGGCTCACACCTGTGACCACCACCTTGCCTTTCATGTGATCAATAACATGTGTTACCTTTATCATGATCATTAAACACAATCCAACTAATTTTTTTTTAAGATTTATTTTTATTTATACAAGAACTGAGGTATGGGCCAGAGTCGCGGGAGGGTGAGAGGATTCACCAGAGACAGAGCGGGGAGCAGAACAAGCAGATGAACCGAAAGCATTGCTGAGGGGAGCAGCGGGCAAGACAGGAGAGGTCTGCCGCGCCATGTGGGTTGTTCCCTGGCAGGCCAGGAGTCGAACCAGTGCTACGGAGGCTGTGGATTGCTTCACAGCGCTGTGCCCAACCCACTGCCCCACTGAGGAGGCCCTAATCCAACTAATTTGTTTGGGCTTCACTGAGGGAAGAATAACCAATGAGTTGGGATGACTCTTCAATATGGTTTTTCTGAGGGTTCTCAAGAGAAGTTTTGACTATACTTTTTTTCTCTTATATGCTATTTTCAGGATTTAGCATGTGATTCTTCTGTAGTTAAGTGCCTCCTGGTTTGTTCCACTTTCAGGTTCCATAGGCAGCTTTAACTCCACATGTTTTCAACTGATTTTATTCCCCCAAAGCTTCCTCCTTCCCTTGTGCTCTCTGAGTGAGTGGCACCACTGTTGACCCAGACATCCAAGCTAGGAAACTTGGTTCCTTATTCTCATTTTCCTCCCTTTCCATTAATCATTTGTCAAGGCTACTTAAGAAACTCTCAAATCCATCCACTCCATTAGGTCATCCTTTGGTTGTCGCTCCAGTTTCCAAGATCATTTCCATAATTCTAGCCTCTCTCCACCCATAACACTATGATGTCCCCCTTTTTTTCTTGTTTAAGTCTCACATATTTTCATGTCTCAACTGAGACATCAAAGCTTTAGGATACTATCCTCGATTCCCTAAAACTGGGTAGACACTTACCCTATGCACAGTCATCGCACCCTCTACTTCTCCTTATAGTAGCATTTGTCTCACTCTATTCCTGTATATCTCCTCCACTGCACCAGGGAAGCACAACTATAAGACCAGGAGGAAGGTCTTATAGTTCTTATACTGTGCCAGAGCAGATACTGAACACTTAGTTATTGAATGATCAAACCAGTGCTTTGTTGGATTCTCTGTTGTAATCCCCTGGAATGGTTTAGTATTGACATTCAGTATATAAGAAACAGAGAATGTCTGGCATGGGGAAAAAAAGGCAGTCAAAATGAAAGCTATTGTTTTTTCTCTATTGTTTTTTCTCAAAGTCTAATTTTAAACCCAGGCTATGGAGAAAGTCCTGGAGAAGGGGCTATTGGGATAGAAGTCAGGAGAGCTATTATCCTATGGTGTAGTTAAAATCCTTTCTGCATTCTCAGGCTCTTGCTTCTGCCAGATCTGGGTCCCAGAAGTAAGAGCTGTCGTAGAATGATAGGTGTCAGAAGTGTTCAGAGCTGAGTTTTTATCTTTTGTTTCCATTTTGTCACATTTTAAGAAGTTTGCTGACCAAATTTGAGGAAAGACTTATAGTCTTGCACTTATACTCATATACTTATAGTTTTGATTTGCAACTCTAGCTATGGACCACTCATTTCCCTGTTTCTTTCTCTCCTGTTCACACTATGGCCACTTGTTGCTACATGCAGGCCCTGCTTCAATAGTTCAGCTGGTTCAGACTTACTGTCTAATTCAGTGCTTGGATGCTTACTCAATACTCAATTTTAGAGACTGAACTTCTGCCCATTATTTTCTTTTTTTAAAAAAAAGATTTAGAGGATTCACCAGAGACAGAGTAGGGAACAGAACAGGCAGACTGACTGAAACCCACTGCTAAGGGGAGCAGTGGGAGAGACAGGAGAGGTCTGCCTCACCATGTGGGTTGCTCCCTGGCCGGCCGGGGATTGAATTCATGCTGCAGAAGCTGCGGATTGCTTCATAGTGCAGTGCTTAACCCCTTGCGCCACCAGGGAGGCCCTGCCCATTGTTCTTGAACTCAGCTTCCCACATATCCCCAGGTCCTCCAAGAATGATGCCCTGCTTTGATTTTGTCTGTGCAACAAATTCCTGTCATATCCATGCAGTGGTTACCTCTTCTGACTTGCCCCACAACATATGTGCCCCCGAGCCCCTTCACCTCAATCTCAACTCTTGCAGATGCCCATGACATCATCCTTAGGGAGTGGAATCCCCAGGACAGGTTGTGTGATTTCTACCAACCAGAGCTCTCTGAGGACCTGTTGCTTGTCTGTGTCCCCAGGGTAAAGATGGATGACAGGTGCTACCCAGTGATCTTCCCAGATGCACGGAATTTCCGCCCCTTCACTGCTGACTCCCTGGATGCAATTAAGAAGCGTATTGCCATCCAGAAGGAGAAAAAGAAATCCAAAGGCCAGACGGCAGCAGAACCCCTGCCTAGACCTCAGCTTGATCTGAAGGCTTCCAGGAAGTTGCCTAAGCTTTATGGGGACATTCCCCATGAACTGATATCAAAACCCCTGGAAGACTTGGACCCATTCTACAGAACTCATCAGGTACAACTGTGGGGATAACTGGGGTATTCTCACTATGCAGTTACAACCAGGGTTACAAGGATCTCTTAAACACTGATCTTGGGAGTTGCAGGTAGTAGGCATACATCTCTTTTGCTGTCACCTCCTGTCATTACCTTCAGTCTTCGTTTATCTCTGTGGCACATGTCTTGGAGAAGAATATGAGGACTAGGATGGCAGAAAGTTTAAAATGAGGACATAGAAAACTTAAAATGTTATCAAAAAAGAGAACTAGACTAGAAGTCAGAAAAATTAAGTGTGGCCCCTTTCAAGTGATTGATTTTATGACTTTAGGCAAGTCACTTCACAAATTTTCACTTCTCTTAATCTGTAAAATAGGAATAATGCCTTCTTTTTCTATCCTATATCAGAGAAATGCTGTGGAAATGCTTTGTAAACTATAAAGCATTATACCAATGTAAGGATTAATATCACTGTCCAGGGATATCCTTTTCAGCATCAACCCTTAACCTTGAAAAATACTAGATTTAAGTTTTCTAGGCTGTTAATAAAATTCATGAAAGTCAAAATTCTAGACCAACACTTGACCCAGAATAGGAACTTATAATAAAGGAAATCCAGGAAAATGGTTGTCAAGTGGGCACACACAGATTGTATGTTAATCCCATGCCAATAGGTGATAGAGTTGGTGTTTCATCTGCTTGGGTATGGTTCTTGTGGGGGAGTTTTAGTAAAATTCCTTAAAGAGATTCTGAGTGAGGAAATATGCACTGCAGTCTCCATCTGATAGCTATTTGAAAGCTTGGGGCTATGAGCACATTCCTTTACAGACCACTCCCCTATCAGGGAAGGCTCAGAAGACCTTGCCATCATCATCTCATTGTGTGATGCAGCAGTGAATGGAAAACCCACCTCCCCAGACTGAGGTCAGGGAGGAAGGAGGCTATAGAGTTTGGAGGAAGTCCTAGGAAAACCTGGGATGCTGAGAGCATCCCTTGCTCATGAGAAATCGATCTCTCCAAGAAACTGCCTGATTTGTTTGCCCTTAAATTGGGACAGATTTAGAGTTGCCAGGCAAAATGGAAACTGTGTGTATAGAGGAAAGTGATATGTAAATGAAAAGGACCAGAAAGGGGAAGAAAGATAAAAGAGCAAGGACACTCAAGATTTCTTTTTCTTAAGTCCCAGAATTCTGGGGGCTTCTTGGAAGCAGAGTTATTGGAGGTGAGTTAACTGCTAGACTCACAAGGCAAGCAGACCTTGTGCTGTGGGCAGTCTTGGGAGGACAGCATATTCTAGCCTGGGTGCATGTTCTAGGGCCAGAAGACATGTTACTTATCAAGAACTCTGTACTTCTATGACCTTACGTGGCTGGTGCTCTCAACAGTCTTTTGAGGCATGTGTGGCCGCTGTTCCACCTTACAGGAAAGGAAACCAAAGGCTAGATGGGGAGGTCCCTTATACCAGGTCAAACAGCCATAAAGGGTGGAGCTGGGGCTCAAACACAGGGCTCTTTCTGTAGTTGTAAGTCACTTCCTCTCTTTAGAAGATTCTATTTTGAAGAGTCACAGGGAAAGGGGTGGCAATGTGTCAGCAAGCAGACAGGAGGAGCTGGTATCTATCATTTTAATCATTAAAACCCTTGTGAATATAGTTAAATACACCATTAGTTGAAATATTTAAAACAGTCAGAGGAGGTATTAATAAAATATCAAAATCAAAGTGCACAGAAGCAGAGACAATCATACCACCTATTAATCTGGGGTGACCCACATCAAGGAGAGGTTTATTCTTTACCTTAATTATCTTTCTATTCAAAGGAAGGGCACAGGATTCCCAAGGTTAGACTTGGGTTCCTAAATTTTAGAGACTCTGTGGCCATTTTATTTTCTTATGGCATCAATAGAAAACATCCTAGTCTATCCACACTTCTTCCTGCAGCCATATGACCAACAGATAAGCTCTAGCTACTCAGTGAAAAAGGTTGATGGTTAACAATGATTAAGGTTCTGGTACCTCAGCTAAAGCAGCACCCACCTTGCTCTCTCTGAGCCAGGGTGTCAAAGCCTGACTTTCCTCTCTGAGAACATGCTGGATTATATGTCAAGCAAGAATTTTTACAAATTTGAAAAGAGCAGTGTTTTGGGAGACTACAATGATCCTTGTTCTATAAAGGCTTTTCTAACTAACAGCCTTGAGGTGTTATAAGAGGACAGCCAGATTACACTTAAATGGAATGAGGGGAGTCTGGTGGTTGATGTTGGAAGCCTGTGAGTGGTAGGTTATTGTCCAGGGGCTGCTGCTTCCCCAGAGCCCAGGAAGACCTGCTAGGAAGAGGTGGGCACAGGCTCAGTGTTCTACAGTGGGACCCAGCTGGCACTTTGGGTCAGATAATGCACCATTTGGCATTATCCATTCGGTCTGTCCTATATTCGGCATCCCTGGGTAGGTTTGGCACACCCACTAAAGGTCAGAGAGCCTTAAGTCATGGTGACAGACAACCAAAACACCCCCACTCATTTCTAAACTTCTCTCATGTCTCCCCTGCTGGTTGAGACCCACAGGCATATTTGCTCCTATTCCACGGGGGGAATGGGAGAGCTAGTCTGGGAACTTTGATTTTTTTTTTTATTGAAGAGCAAGGCTAGAAATGATTGCCAGACTATTTCATGTACAACTGCTCAGACCTAGGCATAATAATATGGACTCTGTATGTCCTTGATTGTTCTCAGTTCATTAACAAGTTTTCATTGGCACTAAAAATAATTGAAAATGTGAATGTTAAATTTTACTTCTGTCTCTTTCAAGTTCTCTTATAATTCTTTTCTCCATAGAGACATACCATGAAGTCCAATACAAAGTGTTTTGTTTACCCAGTTATTATTCATCAATTTTCATTGCAGGCTCTTGGGCTCCATCTCTGGGGTAGTCATATACCTCATAGCCATATTTTGGCTTACACTGGACCATCGTGTGAGGGTGGTCCCCAAAATAACATTGTAATACACATGCCAATTAATGCAGGCCCAGTAAGAAGTCATGGATAACCCAGCTCTTCTTCCAGGATGCCCTCCTGAATGGCCACACCAGTATATTTTGATAGAATACTCTGTGACATTTATGACAACGATGAAATCACACAATGACACATATCTTAAAACATGTCTCCATTGTTACGTGACACCTGACTATAACCAGTCAGGTGCACATTCCACAGTCCAACAGTTATTTTGGCACTCTGTGTGTGACTCAGGGCACTTGAGGGGATCTTTTGGCCTCTAGAATCACAGGACAGGCTGACCAGAAAGTACCTGAGGCTTCAGAAAACTCTAGTTTTCATACTAAGTCAAGCCACTCCTCAAACATGACTCCATTGAAGTTTCTCTAAATGAACTCATGGTAAATATTGCTTTGTCACTACATATAATCCCTATTTTTTTGTTTGTTTTTTTGCAGACATTTATGGTGTTGAACAAAAAGAGAACAATCTACCGCTTCAGCGCCAAGCGTGCCTTGTTCATTTTTGGCCCTTTCAATTCTGTTAGAAGTTTAGCCATTAAAATTTCAGTGCATTCATATCCTTTTATTGCATCTTTCACTAAGTCTAGGTCATGTGAAAAGTGCATGAGCCCCTGGGATAATCACGTGTTTGTTCAGTGGAAACAACTCAGTTTTTCAATAAATGCTGACCTCCGTTACTGTTATGGGTAGATTCTGTGCCGGCGGTGGGTGTGAATGAGGCACGGCCCCTGCTCTGAGAATCTGGCCTCAGAAGAAGACAGGTCAAAAGGTAGTCAATTTCTTTAGTGAGATGGGCCATTGAGCAGTGGCCATGTGGGGAGGTGCTGCTGTGCTTCGAGGCATCAGGCATGACATCTTGGAGAAAGGAAATTTTTTTTTAATATTTTATTTTGTATAATTCTTATATCTTTTTTCATCTTTGAACAATGTATGCATTTTTATTTTGGTTATATTCCCCATACAATTGCATCCCCCCACCCCCTTATTTTAACTCTAGTCCTTCCTTTCCCGGCCCCTCCTTCCCCCCGCCCCACCTAGTGTGTCTCTGGTTTATAGTTGCTTGTTGATTTTGATTTTTACTTTGTATTGGAGAAAGGAACTTTAAGTAGCAACCCAAACAAAGGTTATAAATTGGCAGCCTGCAAAACCATATTTAGCTGATAATGTGTTCAATTGGACCTATAGTGTGTTTATGACTTTTTGGAAACATTTTCTGTTAAAGCATAAATTCCAGCTTCTCTTGAAAAATTGAACCTCTGGCAAGGCTAGGTCTCCATTCTTACCTGGCAGAATTGCGATGAGAAATCATTGCCTCTTTTAGAGGGGACTTTCAAGCTTTGTTTCACCCCAAGTCTACCCTTCCCTGTGACTCAGCCTCAGACCATTTTACCCATTTATATGACTTGCCAGTCTTGTATCTTTGAGTTTGCAATCTGTCTTAAGAATAAAGACAGGTAGAAATTAATGAGCATTTCTGATGTGTGCCAGGGGAGACACTGAGCAGTTTTAGACTGGGGAAGAGATCAAACAAACAAACAAACACGTGAATTAGTAGAGATAATGAAGTACTGAGAAGAATGGGAAGGAATAACTATTTAGGTTGGGCTCCCTAGAAGCAGAGCCTGAGATGGAAATTCTTATTTAATGGGGAACTACTCTGGAGAAGGGAAAAGGGAACCGACATGGAGCAAAAGGAAGAGGCAAGAAAGGATGGGATCTCAGTCAAACCTATGTCAGCCTGAGCCCAAAGGTGCCTCCAGAATTTTCATATTATTGCAGAGCTGCCCATCCTGGACGTGTCTCAGTGAGTCAGACGGGTGGAAGAAGGTGTGTTATGCTCCAGGTGAAGAGGCTGTCATTTGGCCTAGGGCAGTTTTTCAGGGGACAGAAAATTGTTCTAGGTCAATCACTCAGTGAGCGGTCAAATGCACTCACAGAAAAGAAAACCTCCACTACCATAAGGAGTGGCACATGCCATCCTGCAGGGCACCTGCCTTAACAGACACCATCACATTGTTCAGCTTGTTCATCATCTGCACCGTCGTCATCAACTGCGTGTTCATGGCCTCAGCTCTTGGAAAGGATGGTAGTAACGAAACAGCCAACACCGCTGAGTATGTGTCTGTTCTCAACTCATCTGTCCTAAGTTTTTAAACAAACACACCTAAAAGAATTCTGAGCTACATCAGAGTTTAGATAAAGAGGGAAAGAAAATGTCACCCATAATCCCAATTCCCCAACACAAATGCTGGCAGTCTGTTTTATTTTTGCATGTGTACATTTTTTTCTTGTTTTTAAAGACCTTTTAAGATTACATTTGTAATAAACAGCACAGTACATATTTTAAGTCTTGTCTTTTCAAGTAGTTTTCTTTGTGTTTGCACAAGCTTATAGGTGTCTCCACTGATGGCTATATAATTTTTCAGGTGACTATACCATAATTTTCTTGAGTCTGTTTCTCAGAAATTCTAAATACCAGAACTTGCTTGAGGAGCTTGCAATTCTGAGCTCCAATTTGCAGATCAAAATGCTAAATATAACATTGAAATGGAATGAAACCTCTTCATAGTAGGATAAGACGAATGGACTCCCTGATTTTCACATAACTTATGTCATTACTCTGAATTATTTGCTTTGTAGGTATGTCTTCACCGGGATTTATATTTTTGAAGCTTTGATAAAGATATTGGCAAGAGGTCTTGTTCTGGATGAGTTTTCTTTCCTTCGAGATCCATGGAATTGGCTGGACTCCATTGTCATTGCAACAGCGTAAGAATGTTAAAACTTTCTAATGAAGAGATTAGATTCCTAGTGGGAAAGAAGCCCCTTGGTTTTCATCAGGGCTCTGTGTGGATCCATGCGCATGACTGAGTGTTTGAATAATTCTGAGAGCTCTGGTTGGTCCTGAGCTGCCCCATGTGGCCAATTAGCCAGAGACCTCTATACACAAATCGGTTTCTAGATTAGCTTTCATGCTTTCAATTATTCAGCCTTTGGCTCACCAAACTCTGGCCTGTTCTGAACTGGACTTTGTGCAGGATATAGAGATTTTAACAATGAAAACAATTTATACATGGTTCTTACCCTCTTGAAACTCATAGTTCAGAGGGGAAGAAAGACAGTTTGTGATCTTTACAACCTGAAATGGTAAGTGCTAGGGTAGAAGCTGTGCATGTATCAGACTGCCAGAGCATGTAAGAAGAACCGAGGAGTCTAGAAATCTTTGTCCACTGTAAGGTCACAAAAAATTTCACTCATTTTTTAAAGAAGTTTTATAATTTTTGGTTCTTATGTTTAAGTCTACGGTCCATTTTGAGTTAGTTATTGTGAATGGCATGATATGAGAGTTAAAGTTCTTCCTGAAGGAAAGGACATCAATTTGGCATCTGAATGATGAGATGGAGTCAGCAAAATAAAAAACAAGAAGTGCACTGGAGCATGGGACTTGGTAATCAGTCAGAAAATATTTATATTGATTTCAATTATTTATGACTAGAACCACAATTGTAGTGACTATTTCAAGGAATCCTCATCTATGTCAAAATATAAAGATTAGCAGAGAACAGCCTCTTGCACAATTTATGGTCCATAGCAATAGAAAGTGATATTGCCAGATTATCAGATGGAAGGTGGGATTGGGAAGGTGAGGCTGCAGATTTTACCTTGGTGGGCGTAGACCCCAGACGGTGTTTACTTGTGGTCTCTGAGGAGCTGTTCCATGCAGTCATTGGAGCGCAAACCCAGGAGTTCCCTGTTTTTTGTCTTTTAGGTTTGCATCATATGTGCCAAATCTCACATTCAGCCTGTCATCCCTGCGTACCTTCCGGGTGTTTAGAGCTTTGAAAGCAATTTCTGTAATTTCAGGTAAGTCATTAATATTAACTTTAGCTCAGCAGGAGAGAATGTTCTTTAAATTTTTCTAAAATGTCATCATATAAACCGAAAGTGAACAGATTCTGTTCTACTCATTTAGTTGACCATTAAACAAATCAGTATCGAGCACTTAATATGTCCAGGCACCATGCTACTGCTTCAGATATACAAACATTAGATGCTGTCTCCAGGTAGGTAGTGTCAGCATTGAATTAAATTGTAGAACATCCAGCTGGTATCATAGAATTGGTTGTTGTGGGGGGAAAAGCCATCCATTTGGTGAGCAGAAATGTCAGAAATGAAGTCTATTAATGTGGGGATAGTGTCTGAGTAAAGGAGACATTCATGAGAAAAGCACAGAGAGTTCTAGTACAGTGGTCTAATACTGGTCAACTGAAACATTGTCACTTAGTGTCCACAGACATTGCTTTCACATCTGGTTGTTTATCTCTCCAGCTATAAGGAGAGTAGAGTTCTTGACTCAGTGGTATGCTGGAGCTGGTCTGTCCACCAGCTATGCTGGAGCTGATTGTTCTGTCCACCAACAGATCATGCACATCTTTTTCCAACTCTGCTTCCAGAATCTCATGTTGGTAGCTTGAAACTAGGAGGAGGGAGAGGGATCTATTATGGAATATGTCCAAGAAATATTACAGATGAGCACTTTCCTTGCACTGCCTACTCCCCTTAGAAAACTGATTATAAGCATTCACCAACATGCTACGTGATTTTGGCCTTCTAATATTGTAACTTTGGCAGCCTAACAGTATGTTATGGACACAGTAGGTGCTTAGTGAATATATCTTGAATGAATGAAAGAAAAAACTCTAGATTTTTTCTAGGACATCCTCCTTAATTGGGTTCAGACAAACTCCTCCCTCCAGCTCTCTGCTGGTGTCTCATGGCACCTCATGTACCCTATAGTAGGTAGTAGCCTCAATATGGTAATAAGTTCTAACTCCTCATTTGGGTCGTAAAGCTGCACATGAACCCCAAATGCAGAAACCCTACTGGAGGTTTGGCACTGCTGTCACCAAGTTATGCCTTGTGTCTGTGTGGCGTGTGTCTGCTCTGAGTCTTCTCTTTTGCTCTTCAGAGCAACCCTGTGGCAGCTGTAGGGCAGGGATGAGGCTGAGTCCTAGACTGGTTGGCCACTCCAAATGACACACAATTTCTCAGGCACAGGGTTGGAACTAGAACTTAGGCCTCAGAATCCTAAACCAGGCCAGTTTCCAATTCCAGGCTTCTTTTTAAATTTTTTTTTAGTCTTTTTTAAAAAATTTATTTAAATTTTATTTTTATATTCCCCATACAATTACACCCCCCTTATTTTGACCCCAAGCCCTCCTTTCCCCACCCCCACCCCCCATAGAGTGTCTCTGGTTCATAGTTGTTTGTTGATTTTGATATTTTCTTTCTTATAGTTATTCTTTTTCCTGGTCCCTTATTTAAGTTTTCTAGATTCCTGCTATGAGTGAGACCATCCGGTATTTTTCTTTTTCTTTCTGGCTTATTTCGCTGAGCATGATCCCTTCCAGTGCCATCCATGTTGCTGCAAATTGCATGTGTTTATCTTTTTTGAATGCTGAGTAATATTCCATGGTGTATATGTACCACATCTTGATCCAGTCATCTATTTTTGGGCATTTGGGCATTTGGGTTTCCATATGATCCAGCAATTCCATTTCTAGGTATTTACCCAAAGGACACAGAAACATCAATTCCAAAGAGCACCTGCACCCCTATGTTTATAGCAGCACTATTTACAATAGCTAAGCTTTGGAAACAATCCAATTCCAGGCTTCTGAGGTCTCGGCTCTCCCTGCCTGCCCCTTGCTCATGTTTGGTGTGTGTGTGTGTGTGTGTGTGTGTGTGTGTGTGTGTGTGGCATCTCCTCACCCCTGTCCTCCTCAGGCCTGAAGGTCATTGTTGGTGCCTTGTTGCGCTCTGTGAAGAAGCTTGTCAATGTGATGATCCTGACTCTCTTTTGCCTGAGCATCTTTGCTCTGGTAGGGCAGCAGCTCTTCATGGGAACTTTGAATCATAGATGTGTCAGAGAGGACTGCCACAATGTTACTGACGACAATAAAGGTAAATAATCCACCTTTCATTCCTGCTTTATGTGTGGTTAACTTTTATTTATCCCCTCCTACTAGCTACATATCTGCATTACTGAGTCTCTTAGGAACAAGGGATATCTTCAGCCATCCTGGGTACTCATGCAGGCAGATGCCTTTCTTAGAGAATCGCCTCATTCTTTGGGTTTCCATGGAGAAAGAAAAAGCCCAAAGTTATATCTGCAAGGATGTTGTCAGCTCTCATCCTTTCACACTTAGATCTCTGCCCACTTCTTCGTTATGTTTTTGCAAAAGTCTTCAGAATGCCTCGATCTGGCCAAAAGGAATGAGCAAATTTCCAAACCTCCTCCTTGAACATTTTCTCTCATGATATCACTTCTTGCTATGCCCCACCCTCTCCACACTGATGTCAGTCCTGTAACAATTTCACCTGTGCCTTGGCTTGTGGGCATCTCATGGATGGTGTCTGTGTCCAGGTCACCCCAGGGGGTGGACTCTGGTTCAGTTCTATGCACCGAGAAGCAGAATGGTGGTGTGGTCACCACTTCCTCCTGCCTTGTTGCCTGGCTTCCTTCCTCTTATCCTGTCTCTTGCTTCTACCCAAGGCCTTAGGCGCCAGTTCCTCTCTGGACATATACTTTGATCATTTTAGAGGATTTCAGACCATCCTCTGCAAGTATAATCTGGTATATTTGGCATTTTCTTTCCTTTCAGTGTTTTTTAAAAAAATCTAATTCTTTCCTTCTCAGAGAACTGCCTTGAAAAAAAAAATGCTTCAAGTGATTTCATAATGTGTTACACCGGGAATACTAACCGGTAAGAAATTTATGCTCTCCATTTTTTTCCCCAACCATAGAACTTCTAGACCTTTTGAAATGATGTGGCAAACAGTATTCATCTAATGATTTGTAAAAGTAATGATAGTGGTTTTCAAACAGTACTGATTATTTTATATGTCTAGGTAAGTTTAGTGTGTTAAATTTAAAATTGTTTCCAATTGTTTGGAGTAACTTTCACCCCCAAGTTATATTGAATTTATAGATTATAAAAAACCTGCGGAAAAATGTAGTGATGTTCTAACTTCATGGAGTGGCTATTCAAGACTTTCAAAAGTAAGAAAAAAAAAAAAGCATTGTGACTGCGAACCCCAGGAAGTCCTTTTTTCCTGTTCAGTGGCACTGCCCTGATGTGAGAGCATGCTGCTCTGTTTGCTGGTCTGTTCAATACCATTACTTCTAATCATACACATGGTTTTATGTGTATTGATATGCAATCACCCAAGAGCTGGTAGCCCTCTGGCCCTTTTGAGATTCCATCCTTCTTCTAGAATATCAGTATTTTCTCCTATGGGAAGAGATTCAGCTAAGTGAAGACTTATTGAGTGTATTTCAAATTATGATAGTGTGCTAAGTTTGAGGAAAGAGACTGCTTTCATCCTCAATAACAAGTAGGTATCAAGGGCCTATGGAGCCCATGATCTGTGTTAGGCCCAAGGGGAGCTCTATCCTCTTGAAATTGAAATCTGATAGTGAAAAGAGATGTAGATTAAATGGGATGAGTGTTAGAAGAGAGTTGTACAGATATTGTGAGAGAAAATGGGATATAACCCTATCTATAAAATTAGGCAGTTTCTTTAATGGTGATGGTCACAGGTTCAGATTAGGTCAAATTCACAAGACATAATAGGTTTTAACAGAATATAAGTTCTGCTGAGTTCTCCAGAATGATCTGCAATAGGACACATTTCAGCTATGGTGTTTTCATTTAATGAAGGGCCCATAAGTGCTTCTTTGACTCCTCATCCACACAAGATAGGTTTGGTTGTTGTGGGCAAAATCCAAGGTGGGGTGAGCACACAGACACAGCAACCTTGGTTTCCAGCTGGTCTTTATAATGTCCTTGTTTTTTCTAAGCTTATATGCTGGTCATAGCTTTCTCAGTCTGCATATATTCTCAGAGTTCAAGAGTTGTTTAGTAAACTACCTCCTAGTATGTGATCTTCTGCCCTGACCATAACACAGCAGTTTCTAAGGAGATGGTACATATCAGTGTAAGCATTATATTTAAAGATATCTTAAAGCTATAAGAGAAGTTTTTGAATTGGGAGTGTATATAAAAAAATGATGGAATGGTTTTCATTACAAGCCTTTTGATGCCACATGATTTTTATTTTTATTATTTTTATTTATTTTTTTAAGATTTATTTTTTATTTATACAAGAGCTGGGGTACAGGCCAGATGCATGGGAGGGTGAGAGGATTCACCAGAGACAGAGCGGGGAACAGAACAGGCAGACTGATGAAATACACTGGTGAGGGGAGTAGTGGGCGAGACAGGAGAGGTATGCCGCGCCATGTGGGATTCTCACTGGTTGGCCGGGATCGAACCCACACTGCAGGGGCTGTGAACAGCTTCACAGTATGGTGCTCAACCGCCTGTGCCACCAGGGAGGCCCTGCCATGTGATTTTTAAACCACAAGCATGCATTACTTTGATAAAAACACCATCTTAAGTACAAATTAAGAAAGTATATAGATACTTAATGATATTGCCTTGGGGATGTGGCAAAGACCTCTGTGCCATTGTTTGTAAAGTAAAACCCAAATATGTGTAAGAATAAAAGACTAATTGTTAACAACTGAAACCTAAGTATTCATCATTAGCAGAACACTTAGTTAAATCATAGGACCATAAGACATGAAAAAAAGGGACATTCATTTTTTTCAGTGACAAACTGTTAATATAAACTTATCAATAAATGCATTTGGAAATAGCCAATGAGTACCCACACTAAAGTAGAAGCTGGCAGGATGGGAGATAGGGCCATGCCACAAATATTTTATGCAGTTCATAGCCATGGAGGAAGAACCAGTGCTGTGGGCTGCAGGTGGGGCAGAGAAACTGGACTACAGGAAATGTAATTGTTTCTTTGTTCCCTTGTCTCCAAGGTCTAGTGCCTGTTCTTTGGGATATGTATGCAAAAGGACAAATTATAATCCTGACAATGGTTTTACGAATTTTGACAACTTTGGCTGGTCTTTTCTTGCCATGTTCCGGCTTATGACTCAAGATTCCTGGGAGAAACTTTATCAGCAGGTTATCTATTTGTCTCCCTCGTCCTCTCCCTATCACTTAATTATCTCTTTACCATTTATTTGTAACCTATCACTTATTGTTTTCTTTTGTCATCTATTTCTCATCATTAACAATTGTACTATTAAATCTATTTTAGAAATTCTGTTAGAAACAGCAAAAAATTATAAACATGACATTTGGAAGAAGAGTTAAAAAAAACCTCCTCTTCCTAGAAATACTCTCTCTCTCCAGATTCCCTGTTGAAGATGGTCTGTAGCTCATCAGCTTTCATGCAGTATAGCTGTCTCTCTTGCCTTGTTTATTTTTTTTAAGATTTATTTATTTATTTTATACTAGAACCAGGGTACAGGCCAGATGCGCGGAAGGGTGAGAGAATTCACCAGAGCCAGAGAGGGGAACAGAACAGGCAGACTGACAAAATACACTGCTGAGGGGAGCAGCGGGCAAGACAGGCGAGGTCTGCCACGCCATGTGGGACCCTCCCCTGCTGGCTGGGATCAAACTGGCACTGCAGGCTGCAGACACCTTCACAGCGCGGCGCTCAACCACCTGCACCACCAGGGGAGGCCCTGCCTTGTTTATTTTAAAGTGCAAATACCCAAAAGAAAATCATAGCAAAGTCACTGAGATTTCCATGGGAATAGGATGGCAATTTTCACTGAGAGACAGGGCGTCAGGATGACCTGGGTGAGCTAAGAGGCTGATGCTGAGGGTAGCAGAAGACTAATTGCTGGTGTAGTATTTCTGCTTGAGCTCTTGGCCACCTTCTCTGGAAGAAGACTTCAGGTACAAGTGTGTGCTCTATCCTTTGCAGGTCTTGCATACATCTGGGTGCTACTCTGTCTTCTTCTTTGTGGTGGTCATCTTCCTGGGCTCTTTCTACCTGATTAACTTAACCCTGGCTGTTGTTACCATGGCTTATGAAGAACAGAACAGGAATGTAGCTGCTGAGACAGAGGCCAAGGAGAAGATGTTCCAGGAAGCCCAGAAGCTGTTAAAGGAGGAGAAGGAGGTAGGACTGTGTGAGATTGGGCAGTGTGTCTGTTTCATTGTTTGGTTGCCCATCAAATTGGAATCTGATCAGCCTCATAGACAAATCCTGCCATTCTCATTAGGCTTTCATTAATTTACTAAGTGGTATTGTGTCTCTTCATCTTAAACTGCACCACAAAGTCATCCTGACTCGACACCTTCAAATTAATATGATCATTGTTCTCAGTCTTGACTCTTTTCTTGGGCTTTTCATCAGCCATGGTGAGTGCTGAGTCTCCTCCTTAGCTGCTACATCACAAAAGAAGTACCAGGTGTGCACCAAACAAGCACGCAAGCAGCACCAGAGAAGCAGCAAAAGGTTCATTGGTGCTTTTCTGAGAATTTAAGCCCCTTGCGGACTGGCTCTGCCACATTTCTTACTAAGATCTTCAGGCACAGGGCTCTGGAGAACAAGGTTAACGTTGGTGTTAACGCTCTTTGATCTTCTGAAGCTTAAGCCTTCTAGGACAGATCCCAATTTGCTGCTAGAGAAAAACAATCATGCCGTGTAAATCCAAGCTATGTGCCAGACTTCCTGCTGGGAATCTGGAAATGTTTATGTTCAGCTCCTTTCTTTCCTTGAATGAATTTGAGAAGGTGATAACAGTGGCTCCAGAGACAATAGTCATAGTCATCTCTCCTTTCTTGAAATTCCTGTCATATTTACAAATCATTCTCCTTGTTTCCTTGGTATCTTCACATTATTCTGGTTTAATTCTAAGATTTTTAGGGCAGGGACCATGTTTTATACTCCTCATCTTTCCTTCTCAGAGATCTGTCAGGGGAAATCCGTTGTAAGTGCTTAATATCTGTATCACCAGGCACAAACATTGAGTGACTAGCACATACTGGACTGCTCAGGGTTGGTGAAGCAGAGATATAAAAGAGTCAGCCCTGCCTTTGAGGGCTCAGTCTCTGTGGACAAAGAGGACATTTTCTGTAAATAAACAATGACAAAGCTAGCATAGACCATTGAGGTATAGAGTGATTTAAATGGTAACATGCACCAGAAACAGGGAGCGAATGTGTATTAGGGTCAAGGTCATTTGCATATTTTATGAAACTGTTGGGGTCTGGGAGGAAAGGAATAATCTGTTCATCAGTTGCCTTTGTTCCCTTTCTAAGGCTTTGGTTGCTATGGGAATTGACAGAAGTTCACTTAATTCCCTTGAAGCATCATCTTTTTCCCCAAAGAAGAAAAAGTTGTTTGGCAAGAAAAGGAAGTCCTTCTTTTTGCGAGAGTCTGGGAAGGACCAGGTTCCAGGATCAGATTCTGATGAAGATTCCCCCAAAAAGGTAAGTCTTGGCAGGGAGATTAATGAAACTGTGCATTTGTCCAGGAGGCAGGTCAAATTGTCGATCTAGTTGAAAGGACTGATTTATTAATTTGCTCATTACTAATTTATCCATTTGTATACACTTTCCTGCTTCCACATGCCTATTCAACTACCCATTTATTTACTAACATTTTTTTAAAGTATTGACAGTGTTTACTGTCTGCATGGCACTGGAGTAAGCCCTGGGGATACATGAAATATATAATGAAAACACACTAATAGGAGCCAGTTGTACTATCACTGACATGATCATCACTGTGGGAGAACAAGGCGGCATTTGGGGTGTCTCCTCCACAGCAAATATGAGAGGTTAGAGTCCGAGATCCTAGGAAGGAGAGGAAAGAAAAGTGATACACTGATGGGAAAGCAGTAGTTTAGGTGCATCACCAAGCCAGTTGCCCCTAAAGACAGTTGGAGTATAATCTTCCTGGTGTGAGGGAGCTAGAGTATTTTAAAATACTCTATAGACTTTGGCCTATGATTGGTTAAAGATTGCTGGAGTCAGGAGATAGTAATTTTCCTGTATTTCTTTATTTTTTTTTTTATTTTTAAACAATATTTGCTTCCCCCCACCCCCTCCGATTGAGTCCCCATAGAATTTCCTTCCCCAAGGCTCCCGTGCACCATCACCACAATTTTCCTATGTTTCTAACTTGCTATCCTTTGGGGTAGGGGGTGTTCATATTGCCCAAGAAAGCCCTCAGATGTGGGGACATACATATGGGGCCAACAGCATCTGCTAGAGACAGCCAACCCATGATTGGTGAGGCCTGGGAGAAGAGAAGTGGATCAGAAGAGTTCTGTCTGGGGTCTCTGCCTGGCCAGAACTTTTGAGAAACTGGTCATTTTAGATACTTGAGTTTTCTGGATAGTTAAAGATTTGTGTTCATTCAACTCCAGAGACCTTAAATTGTAGCTAAGATGAGTCAGTAAAATTCGGGCCTCGCCTTGAAGTTTACCACATAGATTTTGTGATATTTATTTGGTTGATCTTTTTCTTTAGTGACTATTTCAGAATCTTTTTAGGCAATTGTTCAAGGCACCTCATCACCTGGCCCCAGTCCACCTTTCTAAGTTTGTCCCTCATTTCTGCCCATTGCAAACATTGTTTCCAAATTAGACTTTTGCTTTTATGCCCTGAATCATTGTTCATTAGTTCTTGTAAAATTTGTTTGCTCTTTGTTGACAATAAACAAATCACAAAGAAAGAAAAAAAAGTTTGTAGGAAGAATTCTAAAAATGCATATATATAAGAAACGTGAATGATCAAGCCATATTTCTCTCATTAAATGTGAAATAAGAAAACTGAACACTTAACATGACATAAGGCTGAAGTGATTCAACTTATATAAAACAGTGAACATGTTCATTGCATGTGGCATTGAAACACAAAATCATTTGTGAAGTTTTGAGCAAAGTCTACTCTAGGCTTCTCTGTGTCAGCACCTTTCCTTAAATTTTACCATGTCTTTTCTTACAGCCACCCCTCCTAGAGCAAACCAAACGACTCTCTCAGAACTTGTCAGTGGACTACCCTGATGAGCTTGGAGACCCTTTCCAAAGACAGAGGGCATTGAGTGCTGTCAGCATCCTCACCATCACCATGCGTGGTAAGTCCTTCCTCCCAGTCCAAGGGAGAGCCTAATTTTAGTGGTTCCCTCTGTTCTCCTACTCTTTAGCCCCCCACCCCCTGAAGCCTTCTGCAATCCATTGTACTGCCTATGAGTGATTTCCTGTGAGCATGCAAGCAGAGTGGCTTAGAAGTAGCAGGGTATTTCTGTGTGCCCACCCTGTGTTGGCATTTGGATAGTGGTTGGAACTAGCTAGAGTTGGGATGGACTTGGAACCAAGAGCACAGACAGCCATGTAGTCACAGGAGGTCTCAGTGACAATGATAGTAGTCAGAGAAGAGAAGACAGACATATCCAGTAGGTGACAGAGGGCATTGAAATTAGGATTACGAAGTTGGCATGGAGAATAGAACTGTGTAAACAGACTGGAAACCTCTGATGGAGCAGATTAGCAGTACGTAATAGGGAAGAGGAAGAAATACACTCAGGCAAAGAAGAGCCAAATTGGTTCAGAGTTAACTTCTCAACTGCTCTTTCATTCTCTAGAACAAGAAAAATCACAGGAACCTTGTCTCCCATGTGGGGCAAACCTGGCCTCCAAATACCTCGTGTGGGACTGTAGCCCCCAGTGGCTATCCATTAAGAAGGCTCTGAGAATTGTGATGACTGACCCCTTCACTGAGCTGGTCATCACCATCTGCATCATAATCAACACTCTCTTCTTGGCCATGGAACATAACACGATGGATGACAATTTTACGAAAATGTTGGAAACAGGGAATTGGGTAACTTTAGGCCTTTCAAATATAAAATAATGTCAAACTTTGGATTATAAATCTTCCAAAGTCAAAATATTTTGTGGGTAGCCTTATCTAACTTAGGTTTTTGGTCGCAAGTAGAATAGGGGGAAAGATAACTGAATTTTATTTTTATCCAGTTCAGTTTTGGCTCTCTAATATAAGGTGTCTCTTTAGTTATACAGTGGTAAGCCAGAAGCAAGTAGACACCTTAAAAGATTAACTGAGATAATCAAGAAGGCATTAACCATATCCAGAGATGCATGGTAATAAATAACACAACCTTGGGAGATATTCTGACAGAATTTCTCAAAATAATGTGACTGCCATTATTAGGTGTTACTCCCCATGGAAAGGTAAGTCAGGAGCTGGCAGCTTGGAGGTTCATCTTCCTGGGAAGAGATGTGTAGAGCTTAAAGGGTGGGTGGGGTTTCTGACTTGAATCTGTTTCAATGTGTTTGTCATTGGATGAATCTAGTTTCAGTTAAACTGGAGAAACTAAGATAGAGGAGCAGACTTTCAAGAACTATTCACTTTAATTCATAGTTCCTGCAGAAGGCATTTTCCCCAAGGGACATTAGTCTACTAAATATCAGAAATAACCATGACCATTGAATGTCCTACCCAAATTAGCTAATTAGTTAGTGAGCTAAAGTCTTCCTAGAATATCTACCCATTTCTTCTTTTTTTTTTTTTTTTCAAAGATTTATTTATTTATTTATTTATTTATTTATTTATTTATTTATTTATTTATTTATACAAGCACTGGGTACAGTCAGAAGCGCGGGAGGGTGAGAGAATTCACCAGAGCCAGAGCGGGGAGCAGAGCAGGCAGAAGGACCGAAGTACACTGCTGAGGGGAGCAGCGGGTGGCAGGAGAGGTCTGCGCGCCATGTGGGACCCTCCTCTGGTGGCCGGGGAGCAGCCGGGGATCGAACCGGCGGTGCAGAGGCCGCAGGCAGCTTCGCAACCCAGCGCTCAACCGCTGCACCACCGGGGAGGCCTTACCCATTTCTTCTTAAATTTTATCTTGTATTTCCAATTTAAAAATCAATAAAAGATTTTTTAATTTTAAAAATAAGGAAAATACAAATAAAAGAAGAAATTTACTTCTTATAGCTCTGCTGGCAAAGATGATCATTAGTGGATTGCAGAATATTTCTAGAGAGTATACTGGCTTACCTCATTTTATTATACTTTATTACACTGCACAGATACTGAGGTTTTTTGGGTCTTTTTGATACTGAATTTTTTTTACAGTTTGTAAGTTTGTGTCAACCCTGAGTCAAGCAACCTATTGTTTTTCCAACAGCATGAGCTCATTTTATGTCTCTGTCATATTTTATTTATTTGTACAATATTTCAGACTTTTTAATTATTATTTTATCTGTTATGGTGATCTGTGATCAGTGATTTTTGGTGTTATTATTGTCATTATTTTGGGGGTACAATGAACTATACCCACATAAATGGTAAACTCAGTCAATCATTGTTGTATATGTTCTGAATGCTCTATCAGCTAGCCACTTCCCAAACCTCTTCCTCTCCTTGGGCCTCCCTATTTCCTGAGACACAGCAGTATTGAATTAAGCCAATTAATAACCCTATAATGGCCTCTGAGTGTTCAAATGAAAGGAAGAGGCACATGTCTCTCACTTTCAGTCAAAAGCTCAAAATGATTAAGCTGAGCGAGAAATGCATGTTGAAAGCTGAGATAAGTTGAACACTGGGCTTTTTGTTTGAGACAACTTTGAGACAAGTTGTGAGTGAAAAGGAAAAGTTCTTGAGGCTGCTATTCCAGTGAACCAAAAGTAAAAGTGTGATTCTAGTGAACTCGTGAAAGATAAGAAATGAAAACAGCCTTCTTTCTGATATGGAGAAGGTTTTAGTGTTCTGGGTGGAAGATCAAACCAGTCCCAACATTTCCTTAAGCCAAAGTCTAATTAGGGCAAGACCCTTACTCTCTTCAACTCTCTTAATATCAAACTTTGGCCCTTACTCTCTTCAACTCTCTTCTATGAAGGCTGAGAAAGGTGAGAAAGATGCAGAGGAAAGGTTGGAAGCTAGCAGAGATTGGTTCATGAGGTGTAAGGAAAGAAGTCATCTCTATGACATTAAGGTACAGAGTGATGCACCCAGAGCTGATGCAAAGCTGCAGCAAGTTATCCAGAAGATCAAGGTAAGATCCTTGATGAAGGTGGCTACATTAAACTGCAGATTTTCAGTGTAGATGCAACAGCCTGAGATTGGAGAAGACTCCATCTAGAACTTGTATAGTTAGATAGGAGAAGTCAATGCCTGGCCTCTGAGCTTCAAAGAACAGGCTATCTCTCTTGTGAGGGCCTAGTGCACTTGAAGTCCAAGCCAATGTTCATCTACCACTCCAAAAATCCTAGGACTTTTGAGAATAATGCTACACATACTCTTTGTTGTGCACCAACAAGGCCTGGGTGACAGAGCTCATCTGTTTACAACATGGCTTACTGAATATTTTAAGTTGCTGTTGAGTCCTGTTGAAGACTTCAGGAAACAGGTTCCTCTCAAAATATTACTGCTCATTAAAAAGACACTTGGTTACCCAAGTGCTCTGCTGGAGATGCTCAAAGAGATGACTGTTTTATGCCTGCTAACACAACTTCCATTCTGCAGCACATGGATCAAGGAGTCATTTTGACTTTCAAGTCTAGTTGTTATTTAAGAAATATATTTTGTAAGGCTATAGCTGCTATAGGAGTGATTCCTCTGCTGAATCTGGGCAAAGTCAATTGAAAACCTCTGGAAAGGGTTTACTCTTCTAGATGCCTTTATGAAAATTTATGGTTCATGGGAGGAATCAAAATATCAACAATAACAGAAGTGGGGAAGAAGTTGATTCCAACTCATATGGGGTGACTTTGTGGGGTTCAAGACTTCAGTGGAGGAAGTGACTGGACATAGCAAGAGAATTAGAATCAGAAGTGGAGCCTGAAGATCTGACTGAATTGCTACAATCTTAGGAACTTAAATGGATGAGGAGTTGCTTCTTAAAAATGTGCAAAGAAAATGGTTTCTTGAGATAGAATCTACTCTTGTTGAAGATACTGTGAATATCACTACAATGGTAATAAAAGATTTTATATAAACTTAGAATATTATATAAACTTAGTCAATAAAACAGTTGCAGGGTTTAAGAGAACTGACTCCAAGTTTGAAGGAAGTTCTACTGAGGCTTAAATCCATCAAATAGCATTTTGCAGTTGGTCTAGTTAAGTGACATCCTTCGCACTCTTCCAGATGCAAGAGTCAAAGAGACATTGTTGGTGTCTGAGTACACAGGCAATAGACGCAGCCCAGCTCTGAAAAATTGGTGAGCAACATGCAGAACTGACCACATAACCTGTGCCTCTGTTCTGTGTGTCCCATTCCCTGGACGTGCAATACAAAGGGGGCAGCCACCATAGCAAGGCCATGGAAGTGGCAGTGAAAGGCCTTGGGATCTTGAGTTCCAAAGAATACATCCAAACCTACCTCCCATGGTGGGTAGATCAAGAGTAACTAGAGTAAAGTTCTGTGGGATTGGATTCTCCAGCTGTCAGGACTGCTTGATTCATTGGAGCACACTGGGTTCCCAAGAATCCATAAGTAGCAATTGAGTTGGATTGTCAACCAGTGTTCCCAATGCATCTAGGAATACCCAGGATAGGCACCTAAAGACTGAAGGAGACAGGAAGAGAAGTGGGTCAAGAGGAATGGGGTCCAGTCCAGCACAACTGGAATATGCAGTACTGCATGCTTTAGGCACTGCTTGTGTCCAGGGCAAGGGTAGAGAGTGATATTTAAAGGAAAAAATAGATATAAGCTTTGATTTTTCTTTGCCACTATTTATTTGCTGGTCCTGCATTTATTTTTGCCTATTCTTTTTTAAACTTTGTTATTTTATTTTAGAGATGTTGATGTTGAAAACAAATAGTTAAGTCATTGAATTATTTAAGAAAACACATCACCTGTTGCTTTTCATAAGGACATTTGATTATGTATTTTTTCTTTTTCAAAACTTAGAGGAGTCTTATAACTGACATTTTAAAAACTTCAATCCTTTTATATTACATTATTTCCATACTATAATTTTTATAATTTTCCTTCACTTGTGTATATGTGATAGAGAATGTGCTGTTATGAAAAAATGTTCTGCTTTACCTTCTGCAAAGATATAGAAGACAAATGTAGTTTTGAATTTGGCTACTACTTAATCAACATTTTGCAAATTTCTTAAGCTTGTAATCTAATTGTCAAAGATAAAGAGTAGAAAAATATTTTTTCCTGTGTAAAGCACTTAATTTAGCACTTTGTGCAACTCTTGCCCTTCCTTTAATTTTTTAATATTTGTTTCTGGAATGATGAGCCCTTCCCTTCTGAACGAGTGTTTAGGATTATATTCCAAATAACTGATCCTTCTTTCAACCACAACCAATCTAGATTTTATTGAACATTTTTTTCCTGTATCTTGAGTAGATCAAAGACATTTTTCTCTTCATGGCAATGTTTTTCTTTCTTTTTTTTCTTTTTTTTTTTATTGTTTGGTTGTTTTTTTTTTTTAATTTTTTATATATTTCTTACATCATTCTTCATTTTTTTAAATAATAAATTTTATTTTTATATTCCCCATACAATTGCAGCCCCCCCATTCTGATCCCAATCCCTCCCCTCCCGCCCCGCCCCCCTAAAAGTGTCTCTGGTTCATAGTTTTTTGTTGATTTTGATTTTCACTTTCTTATAGTTATTCATTTTCCTGGTCCCTTATTTAAGTTTTCTAGATTCCTGCTATGAGTGAGACCATCCGGTATTTTTCTTTTTCTTTCTGGCTTATTTCGCTGAGCATGATCCCTTCCAGCGCCATCCATGTTGCTGCAAATTGCATGTGTTTATCTTTTTTGAATACTGAGTAATATTCCATGGTATATATGTACCACATCTTCTTGATCCAGTCATCTATTTTTGGGCATTTGGGTTGTTTCCAAAGCTTAGCTATTGTAAACAGTGCTGCTATAAACATAGGGGTGCAGGTGTTCTTTGGAATGGATGTTTCTGTGTCCTTTGGGTAAATACCTAGGAGTGGAATTGCTGGATCATATGGAAGCTCTATGTTTAGTAGGTCCAGAAATCTCCACACAGCTCTCCACAGTGGTTGGACCAGTTTGCACTCCCACCAACAGTGCAGAAGAGTTCCTTTTTCTCCACACCCTCGCCAACATTTGTTGTTGCTAGTTTTTTTAATATGTGCCATTCTCACTGGTGTAAGATGGTATCTCATGGTAGTTTTGATTTGCATTTCCCTGATGACAAGTGATGTTGAACATTTTTTCATATGCCTGTTGGCCATTCATGGCAATGTTTTTCAATTCTCTGTTTGGGCCCCCTTTTAAAAGTTTTTTCCAGATTAAGGCGTTGCGACTGCATGGTTAGGTGTAAACTCCTCCTAGGATTCTGACTTACAGAAGATATTTATATTTAGTTTTCAGAGCTGTCAAATACCCTTCCTCTCACCTCTTTAGAATTTATATTGGTTATTTTAAAATTTCACAGGAGTAGTTGCTTGACACTTCCTACCCCTTTGCTACCTACCAAGAAGCCAATGTTGCCTTCTTTTCAACAGAATGGGAAATAATATTTATTTAATGTCCTCAGAGCTAACTGTGGGTTCAGTAATATTGAGATGGGTACTATGGAGGTGGGTGGAGAGAGGAGTAAAGAAAGAGTGCTATTCTTGATACAGCTGTATCAAGACTTTAGGAAACATCATACCAATCATAATAATACAAGTTATTTCTTTGTAATCTCTGTAATTCCCTTGGATCATTCTTAAAAACATATCTCCAAGGAGAGGTAGTCATCTTTTCTCATTCTTCTTTATCTCACTGTAGGTTTTCACTGCCATTTTTTTGGCAGAAATGGGCCTAAAAATCATCGCACTTGATCCCTATCACTACTTTCGCCGAGGCTGGAATATTTTTGACTGCATTGTTGCTCTTCTGAGTTTTGCAGATGTGATTTGCCACTTTGTTGTGCCTGGAGGAAAGTCATACTTCCGTTCTCTAAGAGTGGTAAGGCACTTACTTTCTTATTTTACTAAATAACTTCCAGAATTGAAGAGTCTCGAGGGAATTCAGTGGCTCTGTTGGGTTAAATTTTAACTTGTCTTAACCAGAGAACCAAAAACTGCACCCCTCTTCCCACCCAGGTCTTTAATACCTTTGCAAGTCCCAGGGGTACTTCTCTCAGTTGAACCTCTACTCCACCCCCAAGATGACCTATAATGTTCCGTGGAGAAAATTCTCTTACAGTAAAACTGTGTGTATGTCTTAAGTAGCTTTTTGCCTCTTCTGTCCTGAGTACAAAACTTATTACTCTCATCACTGTTGCAAAGCGATGATTCAAAACTAGTGGCCTGAAATCAAAACAAAGAGACCCCCACTGATTGGGAAAAAATTCTTGCACTCCATACGACTTATAAGGGACTGATCACAAAGATATACAAAGAACTCACACAAGTCAACAAAAACAAGTAAACAATCCAGTCAAGAAATGGGCAGAAGAACTTAAAAGACATTTCTCCAAAGAGGAAATATAAATGGCCAACAGGCATATGAAAAAAATGTTCAACATCCCTTATCATAGGGGAAATTCAAATCATAACCACATTGAGATACTACCTTACACCAGTAAGAATGCACATATCAAAAAAAATAGCAACAACAAATGTTGGTGAGGATGTGGTGAAAAAGGAACTCTCCTACATTGCTGGTGGGAGTGCAAACTGGTCCAAGCACTATGTAAAGCTGTCTGGAGGTTCTTCAGTCTACTAAAAATGGAGCTACCATACAACCTGGCAATTCCACTGCAAGGGATCTATCCAAAGGACACAAAAACATTGATTCAAAAGAACACCTGTACACCAATGTTTACTACAGCACTATTTACAATAGGTAAAACCTGGAAACAACCCAAATGCCCAAAAATTGATGACTGGATCAAGAAGATGTGGCATATATACACAATGGAATATTATTCAGCAATCAAAAAAGATAAACTCATGCCATTCACAGTAATGTGGATGGAACTAGAAGGAATTATGTTCAGTGAAATAACCAGAAGGAAAAAGAAAAATATCAGATGATTTCACTTATAGGAAGAATATAGGGGAACCAAATAAGACATCAGGGGAAAAAATAGTAACAATACAAAACGCAACAAAGCAGGGCCTCCCTGGTGGTGCAGGGGGTTGAACACAGTGCTGTGTAGCTGTCTGTCGTGTTTGCTGCGCGAGTTTGATACCCTGCCGGCTGGGGAGCAACCCACATGGCGCAGCAGACCTCTCCTGCCTCACCCGCTGCTCCCCTCAGCAGTGTATTTCAGTACATCTGCCTGTCCTGCTCCCTGCTCTCTCTGGTGACTCTTCTCACCCCACCCCACCCCACCCCGCCCACAACTCTGGCCTGTACCCCACTCTTTAAAAAAATTTTTTAAAAATTTAAAAAGCCACAACAAAGCACAACAAAACAAACAAGACAATTATAAACCAGAGCCATCCTGCAGAGGGAGAGGAGGGAGGGGGATCAGAGGGAGAGAGGAGTATAGGGGACTGAGGTGATGGTGCATGGGTGCATTGGGAATGAAATTCTATGGGGACTACATCTGGGGGAGGGGGAAGTAAATGTTGTTTAAAAATGAACAATGATGGAAAACATATATAAATAAAAGAAAATTAAAAACAAAAAAAACTAGTGGCCAGAACTTTGTAATGTAGGAGTTAGCAAACTTGTTCTGCAAGAGGCTAGATGATAAATATTTTCCACCCATCTGGTATCTATTGACACCGTCAACCTTGCTCTTGTAGCACAGAAGTAGGCATAGAAATTGAAAATGGAATAGGCATAGTTGTGTTCCAATAAAACTTTATTTAGAGATGCAGAAGTTTGAACTTCACATAGTTTTCATATGTATCTTTCCTTTGATTACTCCCAACCATTTAAAAATCAAAAATACAATCTTAACTCTCTTACCATATAAAAATAGGCAATAGACTGCATTTAGCCCTCAGGCCAGAGTTTTTTTTTACTTCTGGTATGTTATATAGGATTCTAAAATACTCATTTAATGTAAGTAAGCACCACTATCATGACCCCAAAGCCTTTTCATCTCAAAAGAACAAGATATTTCAATGCTTAAAAGCAGACATAGTTGAATGTTAGGTGGGAACAGGGAATGGGAAACTACGTTTAGGATGAATTTGATCTTGCAAAGGTCTTTTGGAGTCGTAGATGCTGGGGTTTGGGACATTTCATTTGCTTTCTAGCTGAACAGATGGAATTTGTCCATAACTGGCTTTTCTTTCATTTTTTGTTTATTGTCTGTTTTTACAGCTGAGAGTCTTCAAGTTAGCCAAATCCTGGCCAACTTTAAACACATTGATTAAGATAATTGGCCACTCCGTTGGAGCTCTTGGAAACCTGACTGTGGTCCTGACCATTGTGGTCTTTATTTTCTCTGTAGTCAGCATGCAGCTTTTTGGCTCCCGGTTCAATGACAAGAAGGATATAAAACAATGCAGTGCTGGCTATAACTCTACAAGCTTATGTTTAAGACGCTGGCACATGGGAGATTTCTACCATTCCTTCCTGGTGGTATTCCGCATCCTCTGTGGGGAATGGATCGAAAATATGTGGGAATGTATGGCAGTAGCTCAAATGCCACTGTGCATTATTGTCTTTCTTTCCATCATGGTGATAGGAAAACTTGTGGTGAGTGTCTCAGTTGGGTTTTTTGTTTTGTTTTTAATGAATGAAAAAGTGCATTTGAAAAAGTGCATTAACTAGTGTAATTAATTATTAATAATTTTTCCACTCATGCTTCATTAGTGAAAATTGTAATTGTAGATATAGTATACATGTAATATTTTATCATATTAAAATTCTGCATTTTAATTTGGTTTGAGGAAGTCTGATAGGCATGAAACACAACCTCCTGTCATGTGGCACCCATGTCACATAGCACCCATGTTGATGCAACCATATGCATTCTAGTCCAGGCAGTTTAAAATACCACATTATCTTTGCCAGTTTGTTTGACTGAAGTAGAAGTTTATGACTTAATTTGGTTAATAAGATAGATATGAAGGAATGTCCACTGAGAAAAGCTTCTTTATTTTTTTTTTTAAAGATTTATTTATTTATTTATACAAGCACTGGGTATAATCAGAAGCGTGGGAGGGTGAGAGAATTCACCAGAACCAGAGCAGGGAACAGAACAGGCAGACTGATGAAATACACTGATGAGGGGAGCAGCGGGTGTGGCAGGAGAGATCTGCGCGCCATGTGGGACCCTCTCCGTGGGCCTGGGATCGAAGCTTGGCGCTGCAGAGGCTGCGGGCAGCTTCGCAGCACAGTGCTTAACTGCTGCATCACCAGGGGAGGCCCGAGAAAAGCTTCTTGTTCTAAAAAAGATAATGAAAGGAGGGATGAAGAAAAAAATGGTCCTTTTACTCCTGGGCTTTCTATGACTATCACTTCTGGTGCAACTGAAAATGTTATGCAGCCTAAGACAAAGTCAGCACTGAGGAAGATATAGTGAAAGGTAAAAGCACCCTATCTTCGTGTCATCATTGGTCCCCTGTTCTATTTTCAAACTTTTCGTTACATTTTTCCATGGTGTAAGCTGCCTTGAGTCTGTTACTTGCAGCTGGAAACAAACATTTATGTAGAAGCTAATTAGGTGTATACCAGCGAGGGTATGAAGAGACAGATATACCTGAGCATCTTCAGATTCAGATTACTTAAGATCTTCAGAATTATGTCTGGGCTATTGTGCAAATATAATTAACAATCACACATAATAACTTTATTGTAAGTATCTAACAAAAGGTGTAGATTAACAGTGATGACCCAAAACACAAAGAGAGCTTTTCACTGATGGGAGAGGGAAAAGACCAATCAGAAGACAAAGCACTTGAGAAGAGCATTTAAGAGGCAAGAGAAACTTACACTGTACAGGGGAGAGCTTAAGCAAACATCCAGAGTGGGAAATTCTCTTGGTAAAACTAAAAAAGAGTAACTAGATCATTCACACCCACAAAGCACTTCTCTCTGAAAGCTGTATGTTTTTGAGCTGGTGAGAGCCATGAAAGAGTTTGAAGAGGTAAAGATGTTGAATTGAAGGGTATGTAAACCAAATCCCAAGAAGGAAGCTGTTGGGTTGATCTGAATTTAAAATGATATGTGCTTCAACAGAAGTTTGTTGATTTGGTCTAAGCCTTTTTGGCTCAGCCCTAATACCTTTTTTGAGATTAGGGCAACAGGACATCATGGCCCTCAAAAAGCACATAGCTCTCATATTGCACCAATTGCAGAGGACTCCTTAGCAGTCTTAGATATCAGACCCATATCCCTGTGAGCAATTCTAGTAAAATCCAAAGTCTGGCTGATCCCCCCAGGTCACAAGGCTACACCATTCTGCTTTACCCTTACCAGTGTCTACTTTGCATGCTGCCTTTTTTTTAAAGATTTATTTTTATTTATTTATGAATATGAGAACTGGGTTGTAGGCTAAAGATGCAGGGGGTGAGAGGATTCACCAGAGACAGTGGGGAGCAGAGGAGGCGGATCTACTGAAATACACTGCTGAGGGGAGCAGGGGGTGAGACAGGAGAGGTCTGCTGCACCATGTGGGTCAGCTCCCTGGCCTGGGATCAAATTCATGCCATAGTGGCTGGGTAGCTTGGCCCTGCATGCTGCTTATATGTAGATAAACTGGATTTGGCTGTTTATACCTTTTTCAATTTTTTTCTGCCTTATCTTGCTGTCACTATTACTTCCCCAACATCCCCTCCTTTTATTTATTTTATATATGAACTTCTTTGGGAAACAGAAGTATAAAACTCATCTTTGACTGTTTTGGGTTGTGGGGAAAAATTGTTGTAGAAACCTACTTTATTCGTTACTTTGATAAATTTTCTATTCTACTTGTGCTTCCCAACACTACCTCTCCCTCCCTCCACCCCCACTTCCAGGTACTCAACCTCTTCATTGCCTTGCTGCTCAATTCCTTCAGCAATGAGGAGAGAGGGGAAAACAGGGATGGAGAAACCCGTAAAACCAAAGTCCAATTAGCTCTGGATCGCTTCCATTGGGCTTTTTGTTTTGTGATAAAGACTCTTGAGCATTTTTGTTGCAAGCGGTGCAGGAAGCAAAATTTGTCAAAGCAAAAAGAGGTGACAGGAGACCCTGATGTAGAAAACAAAGACGTCATTCCCCCAAAGAACTTTGATCAGCCTGCACCAAAGACTTTGAATGTCGGGCATGATTGGATTCATTTGGCTCCACTTGCGGAGGAAGAATGTGATGTTCTATCTCTTAGTGAAACTAATCTACCATCTAGTGCACAACCTGATGCTGGAGAACAGGTATGGAGATCATATAAAGCTGGAGTTGCCATAGGCACTGGTTGCTTGTTCTGTTCTGAACACTCTGCAGAAATTCTAAGGGTATAAAATGTGGTTAGTGCCTCTCACTACCCACATGCACATCCCAGAGCTGGTTCTAATCATTGTCCTACATTTGTGGCACACAGAGGGACAGAGGTCAGAGTGGACTGGACAGCTAGGGAAGCAAGTGCCTTTGTTTGAGCCCTAAATAAGTTTGGACTGGCTAAAAGGTGAGAGAAGAGAGTGTGGAAAGTGAAGTGAAGAGCATAGAGGCAGAGGTGGGAACAAAGTCTCTGCAGGCATCAGTGGGGGGCTGGTGGGTAAGGAGTAGTGGGAAATGAGATCTGTTAGGGAGCAGGAGAGTGATGGATGCTCAAATAAACAAGTTTATCCCACCTGTAGCAGGGCTGTTTGTATATTTCTGAACTTGCCAAAGTGATTACAACCACCAGCTTTGTGTAGGAGTTCCATTTGCTCTACATCCTTGCCAATGTTTGATGTTGTCAGTCTTTTCAATTTTCACCATTCTAGGGGGTTTATAGTGTACCTTACTATGTTTTTACTTTTATTTCACTGATAATGACATTGCACATCTTTGCCCTGCATTTCTTATAATTTATATATCATAACTGTGAAATGTCTGTTGTCCATTTTTTTAAAAAAAGATTTATTTATGCATGCAAGAATGGGGGTACAGGCCAGAGGTTGTGGGCGGTGAGAGGATTCACCAGAGACAGAGTGGGGAACAGAACAGGCAGATTGACTGAAATACACTGCTGAGGGGAGCAGCGGGCGAAATAGGAGAGGTCTGCTGCACCATGTGCGTTGTCCCTGCCAGGGATAGAACTTGTGCTGCAGTGGCTGCTGTTAGCTTCATAGGTTACATCTTAACCCCTTGCGCCACCAGGGAGGCCCTGTTGTTCATTTTTATTGAGAGATTTGACTTGTTATTATGGAGTTACAAGAGTTTATTAGACATTCAATATACAAATCCTTTATCTGATATATATATACATATATATATATATATGTTGCACATATTTTTTACCTGTCCATAATACACCTTTTATTTTCTTAATAGTACCTTTCAATGAGCAGAAAGTTTAAATTTTGATGGAGTATAATTTTTTAATACTACTTTTAGGTTTCGTATGTTTAGTTCTATTCTAAGAAATCTTTATATAACCTAAAGTTGTGAAGATTTCTGCTTATGTTTTCTTTGATAATTTTATAGGTGGAACTCTCAGGTTCAAGTCTATGTAGAAGCTAGTTTCCATTGAAATTTAAATTTGTATATAGAATTTTTGTACATTTTTTCGTATATATGTATACATGCACACACACACACACACACTCACACTCACACAGTGATCCTAGTACCATAAAATAAAAAGACTACTCTTTTCTCATTGAATCATCTCAGTATTTTTGTCAAAAAGCAATAAAATCTATCTGTCTACATATCTGGATCCATTTTTCTTGACTCAATTCTATTTTGTTCAACTGTATATTTTATACCAATATCATACTGTCGTCATTACTATAGATTTATAGTAAGTTTTGCATAACTTTATTCCTTATCAAATTTGCTTTGGCTATTGTCAGTCCTTATGCATTTTTAAATCAGCTTGTCAACATTTCCCCCCCACCAAAATGCTGGGATTTTGTTTGGAATGCATTGAATATACAGATCATATTGCAGAAAATTGGCACCTTAGCACCTTTGAATCTTCTGATTCATATCTACTTATTTAGATCTTCTTTAATTTTTCTTAGCAATGTTTTATATTTTTCAGTGTATAAGTCTTGACATATTTGGTTAAATTTATCCCTAAGTAGTTAATGTTTTTATGTTATTATAAATGTAATTTTTTAAAATTTGAATTTCTGAATACTTATTTCATCTATAAATAAAGACAGTTTTCTATTCTCCCTCCCCCCACCTTTATGTTTTTTCCTCTTACCTTATTATATTGATTAGGACTCAATTGATTCAATATTAGTGTGTAATATTGAATAAGAACTGTAGTAATATATACTTTGCCTTGCTCCTGACTTTAAGTAGAGACATAAAGTCTTTTACCATTAACATCTTCATTGAGGCAGTTCCTTTATTCCTACTTTGCTGGGAGGGTGTTTTATTTTTAAATTATGATTATATATTGAATTTTCTGAAACTCATTTTCTGTATGTTTTTGAATATCAAATCACTTATGCATTCCTTGGATTATCCAACTTGGATTATCCCTACTTGGTTATGGTATATTTTCCTTTTATATATATTTGGATTCAATTTGCTAACATTTTGTTAAAAACTTTCTTCTCCAGTTTTTTCCCTTGTCATATGTCTTGTCCCTTGTCTGCCTGGTTTTGGTATTAAGTTAATATGGACCTCATTAAGTGGGCTGAGAAGATTGCTGTCAAAGAACTTGTCACCTATGTTTTTTTCTGTGCATTTTATGGTTTCAACTCTTATATTCAAATCCTTGGCCCATTTTGAGTTTTTTGTCCATGGTTTAAGAAGTGGTCTAGTTTCATTCTTTTACATATGGATACCCAATTTTCCCAGCACCATTTATTGAAGACGTCCCTAACTCCATTTTTATCCTTATAGCCCTCTTGTCATAAATTAGGACTTCTGGTACTATGCTTAGTAGGAGTGGTGATAGTGGGCATCCTTGTCTTGTTCCTGATCTCAGATAAAAAGTTTTCAGTTTTTCACCATTGAGTATGATATTGTGTTTGTGTTTGTCATGTAATGGTCTTTATTATTTTGAAGTGTTTTCCTTTACTCCATTTTCATGTGAGTTTTTATCATAATTAGGAGTTGAAACTTGTCAAATTCTTTTCTGCATCTACTGAGATGATCATATGGTTTTGTTTCAAAGTAAGAGGTGTAGGAAGACCATTAATTCCACTCTGGGCTTTTCTGTGTCAGATCTATGAATTCCATCCAGATACCAGAAAGACCACCAGTCCAGGAGTTCAAAGTGTGGAAATTAATGTGTTCTCTGAAGATGATGCTTCTGTGGCAATACAGGATCCCCAAAAGGTAATTTTTCTAATGGGTTCCCAGATGGAACATGTGGCTCATTCATATACCTTCTCCAAAATAGCCACTATGGAAAAATACTAAGTTTAACATGAAGCAAACTGGCAGAATCATATCTTATGCAAAGGTCTAGACCAGGGTTTGGTAGTCTCTTTACTATGGCATTTGGAACAGAATCATTCTTTGTTGTGGTAGGCTGTTTTGTGCATTGTGGGATGTTGCTAAACCCACTAGATGCCAAAAGTGTTCCCAATTGTGAAAATTTTGAATTTTCCTAGTCAATTCCAGAATATCTCTTAAAATGTCAAAACCAATGAGAATCACTGGTGTAGAACTATTATATCAGGATTCGAGTTTTTAAATTATATTATTTTTTATTGAGGTAACATTGGTTTACAGCACTGTATATGATTTAGGCTCATACTTCTTCAGATATATATTACCACGCCACACTCACCACCAAATCCTCCACCTCCTCCTTGTCCTCCTCACCCCCATCTTTCCCATCTGAATACCAGGAATTTAGATAGCTGAAAATTAGACTCTGGGGCCTCCCCGGTGGCGCAGCGGTTGAGCGCTGGGTTGCGAAGCTGCCCACGGCCTCTGCAGCGCCGGTTCGATCCCCGGCTGCTCCCCGGCCACTGGAGGAGGGTCCCACATGGCGCGCAGGCCTCTCCTGCCGCCCGCTGCTCCCCTCAGCAGTGTACTTCGGTCCTTCTGCCTGCTCTGCTCCCTGCTCTGGCTCTGGTGAATTCTCTCACCCTCCCGCACTTCTGACTGTACCCAGTGCATGTATAAACAAACAAACAAATAAATAAAATAATTTAAAAAAAAAGAAAATTAGACTCTCAGTAAAGTGGCCTCTCCCTCAGCACCTGACTTCACTATTTGGGGTTAGACTGTCAATCAGTGGTATGATTCGTAGGGAGGGAAATGTGTTTTAATATTCCATACGTTTACTCAACTAAGGGAGAGAAATTAAACAATTATCTCCTGAAGTCAGGGGTGGTCAGACTTTAAATAAGGAGCCAACAAGAGGACTCTCTCTTGATACCTTGAAGCCTTTGCCTAGTTTGTTTCATTCCTTAATAAGGCATGCTATGAAGCATTAAGCTCTGTCATGGTGAGAGAGGGTTTTGGTAAATGTTTCCCTTTTTTCTATCTTCTGATGTGCAGAAGTTTGATGCTACCAGTGTATATTCAGAATGTAGTACTGTTGATCTACAGAATCCCTTTGGACAGGTGCTTGAAATGGTTCCCAAAAAGCAACCAGGGAGATGTTTGCCCAAAGGTAAGTGGCAATATTCCTACATTCAGTTCACAGATTATTTGGATGGGATTCCATTATTTTTTGAAGCTCTGTGAATTTGATAGATCCCTTCTTACTACTTCAGCTGAAGATAAGAATAAAGAGAGGGCATGCATAGACTCTTGGGATAAAGGGCAAAAGGATTCCAGGAAATTCTTGATTCAGGTGGGCTCTGCTTACATAGTCCAATAACCATGGTAGAAAATATAGAAAACATTCCTAGAAATCTCACTGGGCCAATATATCTGCCACTTTATATAGTTCCAGGTAATTCGTTTTCAGGATGTACTTAAGGTCGTAGACAAAGAGAACTTGACCTTAAATCCAGGCTCTCAATTCACTCCACAAGATTTTCCTTGTTGTTAGGAGCATTGGCTCTGGAGCCAGACTTACTGGCTATGAGACTTGGTCACTTAACTTCTCTGAGCCTCATTTATAAAATGGATATAATAATCGTAACTACTCCAGAGGGTTGTGGTGGGTATTAAATGAGTGAATGTAAGTCATTTACAAAAATATCTGGCACAAAATAAGCAACAGATAAATGCAGCTTTTCCTGATTCCCTAAGGGATGCTGAGGTTCCATCCCATGTCCCCCATAACTTCCTGGATTCATGGGAGGAGTTTATTTGTCTCTTTTTTTCTACCACGATGTCCTTAAAAACAAGATAGAGATTTAATTAATAGTGTAATAGAGAAATGGCCCTGGCCTGTATCATAGACTCAATGAATGTTGATAGGAAAATGAATGAATATAAGCATTAAAAATTTCTCTAAAATCTAAACCAGAATCTAAAGTTTTAAATGTTTGAGACCAGACTGGGGTCAGAAAAACACCAAGAATGGGTTTCCAGCTCATTCCAGGTTGTTTGATAACTCCACTGCTGCCCATGGGGTCAGAGGTCAGACTAGAGATAGAATACTATTCTCCTGACTTAACATTTTGACTGGTCCTTAATGTACTCACAGGGTATTAACAATGGAAATGGGGCAATTTGCTTTATAGAAGAAGGCAGGAGAAAGATAAAAGACAGAATAAAATAACCTTCTAGGGAAATTAACCTGTTGATGTTTTGAAAGATGGGGGGAAGTGAAGAGCAGACTAAGGAGAACTTACGGTGGCTTAAAAAAGTGATGAGGGAAGGTGTAGATTGTTGTACTCCCAGGAAGTACGGATCCACGGCATCTGGAGGAGGGGGAAAGGGTGATGTAATTCATGCTGAGAGTTTGTGTGGGTTGAGATCAAATGCTCAGTTATGTGTGAACATCTGGATAATTGATCAAATTTTCCATGTATGGTTTGGATGGTTCACAAAACGTATGCTTTCTGCCTTCAATTTACTTTTGCCAAAAAAAAAGAAAAAAAAATTCTGCATTACAAGCAACCACACAACCTCTGTGGCATACAGTAATAAACATGGCATACAATTATAAACTGCTCATCTAGACTGTTGATCTCTGCTGATCTTGCCTGGCTTTGTTCATGTGAATGGTATTGAATGGGAGTCAAATAATCTAGCCTGTGCTTAATTGGGCAATTTGGCTCGCACCCATGTCTATCTTCCTTCTTTTGGAACCAGTGTTCTGACAAGAATGTGTCTTTTATATGGTGATGGCACAAGAAAGCAAGTGGAAATTTGCAATGCATCTTGGAACTTAGATTCAGAAGTGGCACATTTGACTTCCATTCTGTTAAGTGGCAGATCAAATCACACGACTGAGCCCAGATTCAAGAGATTAGAATAAAACTGTATCTCTTTAGTCGGAGGGTTTACAATGAAAAGGCAAGGGGTGTGTGTTCAGGGATGGATGAAGAGTTGGGGCTATTAATGATCATGCTATTGCTCATTTCTTGCAGGCCTGCGTCTCTGCTTTCCATGGTGTTCCATGAATAGAAGCAACTCCCCCTGGGTCATTTGGTGGAATATGCGGAAAACCTGCTACCAAATAGTGAAACACAGCTGGTTTGAGAGTTTTATTATCTTTGTGATTCTGCTGAGCAGTGGTGCACTGGTAAATTATCTTGGTTTGTTAGGGACATTGGGGATCAAGGCATCTGGGGGAGCTGCATTCTGGGCCCATGGCCCCTCTGACTGTGGGGAGACCAGGCAGAAATGGTATCTCTGTTGCTGGTTCCCCTTAGGGGCACAGGATTTTGTGCAACCTCTGGAGTCATGCTCTAATTGGGAAATCCCCAAGGAGACACATTTTGCCTGTGGGGAACCATGACCCAAACCAACACTTTAAAGTGGTTATTGGAATCTGACCCTTGACCCCAGGTCTGTTCATAATTCCTGGAGGATTTCTAGACATCATCTCTGTATTCTACATGTTTCTTCCTCTACACAGCAATACTTCTACCCTCTCGTTACCTAGAGATCGTTGCACTACTTTCTAAAAGGTAAAATGTCAGGAGGAAAATGCGACAGGAACAAGAATAAGATTTAATAAGCTGTCATAGTATTTTCCATCACTCATGATCTCTTGACAGGAGAGACAAAGAAACATTGTTTTGTGTGCATGACAGATCCTTCCAAATTGAGATGAGGTGTGAGTTCCAGTAAATTTTGCAAGTAATTTGTTGCTCAACAGCCACCAGCTCTCTCTGGTCACCTTTTGGTACTTCTTGCACCTTCTTCACACATCTTCTCTTTTATTCCCTGTATCTCATTCTCTCCTCCCCTTCTGCTGTCCCTCCCTCCTTCCCTTTGTCCCTCTTTGCTTACCTCTACCTTGTGTATCCCTTAAAATGGCCATAATATAAAGCTATGTTCTCTTAGTATTTGTTATATCAAAAGAATGAAGTTCTGGGTTTCCCTTAAAGATTTAAAGTCACAGAACATTTCACAATATGTCACTAACAATGGAAGGGACAATGAAGTGTCTTGTATCCACATCCTACTTTACACCTGTGTGATCTCTCGGTGAAAGAAGATGAGCATATGATGGGGCACACCAAAGCCTAGGATCAATAGGCACCCCCCATTTATCTATTTACTGCTTTGCAAATTCTCAAACAAAAAAGCAAATTTCTCTAAAACTACTCCAGAGAACGCCCTTAATTAACTTTTGTTGCTAACCCTTAGCAAGGTTACCCTTTTATCTTCAATAACTATAAAAGCCAAAAGGAAAACTTATACCCTAGTCATATAGGGTATAACTATATAGGGTATAGTTATAGAGGGTTTATCTCTCTCTCTCTCTCTCTCTCTCTCTCTCTCTCACACACACACACACACACACACACACATTCTTTGGGTGAAGGAAATGTGTGGATGCAGCATGAAAAAGGGTCTCTCCAAAAGTAGGATGTCTCATTTTCATAATCACACTTAATGAATAGTTTAATATTCAAAACAGTTTACATTTTCAGCACTAGCCTAGAGCTTCCCAAACACTCACATGTCATGGTACACAAACAAAATGATCATATACGTAGGGACTACTGGGGTCAATGGAGAAAGGGCTGTCAGTGGTGAAGATGATGGGCCTCAGGGCTAGTAGGAGCTACAGTGCAGGCTGAGGTGTTTGGACTTGATGCTATAAGCAGTGGAGAGCCATTGAGTACAGCCGCTGAGGGAACCAGAAGCATGAAAGAAATGGTGTATGCAACGGTATGGTTCTGGAAAAGTTGGCAAGGTATGGTTGGTAAGAGTTAAAAGGATTAAGAAGACCATAAAGTGGTGTGACAATCTACTAGGACTAGGAGGATGTTTTTCTGTGCCAGGGAGCCAGTGATAAGATCCTGGGAAACTATAGTGACAGCAGAAATTCAGAAATAGGATATTTTTTCCTACTTTTACTTACTTAAGGAATTGATTTCACTGGAAATGTTCAGCCTTAGTACCTTTTGAGAAAAACCTTGTCACCTTATTCAAATAGGAAGACAAATAAAAAGTAGACTCAACAAGAATTTCTAAGCAAATATACAACCTAGTTGATGGCTGTGCTTTATCATTTCAGGTATTTGAAGATGTTAATCTCCACAAACAAGTGAAAATCCAACAATTACTTAATTGTACTGATATTATTTTCACGTACATTTTTATCCTGGAGATGGGTCTGAAGTGGGTGGCATTTGGATTTCTGAAGTATTTCTCCAGTGCCTGGTGCTGGCTGGATTTCATCATTGTGATTGTAAGTTTACCATCTGTTTCCCATAAAGGCATGGGTGGGCGATGAGAACTGGGGAGATGGTCATATGGGTGCTGCTTTTCCTGTAGGCCTAACATGAATGCTTCTTTACAGAAAAGTATTTTTTTCCTATATATTTGTCATTCATCCATCCATCAGCAGTCCAGCCTTTTCTGGGCCTTATTTCTCATTCATTGCCCTCATCTGCTCACCTCTCCAGCACTTTACATGATGGCACACACTCATTTCTCTTCATAAATACTGTTATGACTTATGTACACAAGAATAGTCTTGGATAGTCTTCATTTTGCCTTCTCTTGTCAGCTTTCCTTTTCTTTTCAAGAATTTTCAGAGCAGGTCAGCAGCCAACAGACTAGGCTGATCTCCGTCTGATTGTCGAGCAACATAAGAGGATTAGTCACATACATTCTTTCATTTAATCCACTCAATCATCTTCCAAGTTAAGCAGAGTTATATATCACCTACCATGTTACAGATAAAGAAGCCTGAAGCTCAGAGGATCAGCAAATAGTTTCAGGTGAAACTGGGATTCACACCTGTTGTGATGCTAAGACCAATAAGAGTAATAGTGGATCACATGTATCGAGCTCTATGCCAAGAATTGTGCCATGTGTTTCACATGCATCCTGTCTCTTAGTTACCACAGTCAATCCATGTGGTAGGTACTATTGTTTTCCTCATATAAATAAAAAGAAACTAAACCATACAAAGGCTAAGAAATATGTTCAGGATTTCCCAGCTAAAAGTGGTGGAGATGAGACTCAAATCTTTTAAGTTTTAAAAGCCCTTGGTTTTAATATCTATATTCTTTCTACCATGAACAAATTAATTATACTTCATAAATGTGTAGGATTAAGCCGAGTGGCCAGCACAACCCAGGGAGAATCATAAATGTTGTTGATGGACACAAGTAAGCCATGTGGTTCAGGCATTTTAGGAAGGCATTGGTGCCATAGGGGTGCCAACAAGACCATCCACATTCATCGACCCCATCTGTTTCCAGAGTGCAAATTACTCTGCATCCATTATATCACTGTATTTTGGTAGAAAATATATGAGACAGTGGAAAGATTATTGGTATCTACATTCTAGTGACCTGTGGTCTAAAACTAGGTCCTAAAGCTACCTTGTCTACCTCTTTCTGTGTAACCTTAAGCAGAGTGCTTAAGGTTTTCATATAGATAAAAATGAGAGTATGAACTATAAATTGCCCAAAGTTGACCCCATAAAAACTGGAAAACATAAATATAATAATAGCCATCTAAGATATCAAAACGTAGTCTAATACAACGCTCGCAGAAATAGTACCAGGCCCATATAATTTTACAGGCAATGTTTGTGTTCTCCCTAAATTCATATGTTGAAACCTAATCCCCAATATGTTGGTATTTAGAGGTGGAGTCATAGATGGTTCGTATCCAAGGGTCATTTTCTCATGAATGCAATTAATGATCTTAGAAAAGAGACCCCACAGAGCTTCCTTTCTTCTTCTGCAATGTGAAGACAGCAAGAAGAGGGCAGTGTGAACTAGGGAGCAGTTTCTTTCAAGACACACTGACCCTGCCTGCTCTTCGATCTTGGATTCCTAGTCTCCACATCTGTGAGGAATAAATACCCGATATTTATAACTCATTCAAGCCATGGTACTTTATTATAGCAGCCTAAACTAAGATAAACATTTAACCCCAACCTTATTATTCAAATTGTTTCCAAAAAGCTAGAAAAAGAAAGGAAGCTTGCAAATTTAGTTAATGAAACAAGTATAAACTTGATAATAAAAGGGACAAAAAGGAGCAGAATAAGATAAGAGATAATCATATAATTATGTATCTTTATAAATCCTGGAGAAAGTGTTTGATAAGTGTGGTCCACTATTTCTATTTCTATTATTAACCTTTGCCTCATAGAGACCAAGGTATGAATCCCAATTCCACTACAATTTGCTGATCCTTTCTAAATTGCTTCAGATTTCCTTATCTGCAACATAGTAGGTGATGTATAATGCTGCTTACGTGGGAACATTGTTGCATGGATTAATGAGAGAATGTATATGAATAATTGCTCTATGTTGCATGTTAATAAAGATTATAAAAATTGATCTTTTAGTTTTGGAGTAGAAAATTGCAATCACAAATACAAAAAATATGTAGAAATTCAAATGTATGTAAATTAAAGCTTTTGTTTTTCTATTCACAATACCATAATTATAAAGACAGACTAGAGCCTGGAGACGGCATTTGCCATATGCATAACAGGTAATTATTATCCTCAGTATATAAAAAAAGTCCCTACAGATCCACAGGACAACCCAATGTAAGAATGGCAGAAAGATGCAAGCATCCAATTCACAGAAGGAACTCTAGTTGCTAATAAATGAGTAAAGAAATACTCACCAGTTATATCACAGATTAACACACAAATGCCTTATTAAAATGACTTATTTCACTCATATTGACAAAAATTTTCAAGCTAGATAATACCTAATATTGAGATGGATATAGGAAAGTGTAATCTCACTCACTGCTGACTATTTAGTTGGTGTAGTCATTTTGGGGAAAGTTAGGCTCTATTAAGGAAAATTACAAAAGGAGTATTTGTGAAAACCTGCTTAAATTACGTCTCCCACAGGCAATACTATTAAAAACAAAAGAACAAACAAAAAGCCTATTTGAAAAATAGACATTTTTGAATTGATGAATTTTTTTTTTTAAAGATTTATTTATTTATTTATACAAGCACTGGGCACAGTCAGAAGCGCAGGAAGGTGAGAGAATTCACCAGAGCCAGAGCAAGGAGCAGAGCAGGCAGAAGGACCAAAGTACACTGCTGAGGGGAGCAGCGGGCGGCAGGAGAGGGTCTGCACGCCATGTGGAACCCTCGCCCACTGGCCGGGGATCGAACCAGCGCTGCAGAGGCCGTGGGCAGCTTCGCAACCCAGCGCTCAACTGCTGCACCACGGGGGAGGCCCTAATGAATTTTCTTTTAAATCGACTACAGATTTTAAAACTGCTATTCTGTCACATTAGCTCAATTTCTCTAATTCGCAATCTTTTACTTGTACAATGAGATTGTCAGATTTAGTGGGGAATGATTTTAGATAATGGTGAACTCTGATATCGGCTTAGTCAGAAATATCAGTAATTCACTTCCTGCCCCCTTCCAAAATGAGCCTTTGAAGCCTCCACAATAAATAACTAAAGCTCCACAGAGTGGTTTTCAGCTTAAACTCAACATATTGTTTTAATTTAGTGTATTTACAGAGATTTCCAATTCTCCGTTTTCCAACTCCATTCAGAAGAGGTATGTTGAGAGAGAAAATAGGATTTAATTCCCCCAAAAAGGAACTATTTGAGTAAAGGGAAATATAAGCAAACAAATTATTATTTATTTCTAACTTTTAATTTAAATGTAATTTCAAGCTTAACTGAGAAATTGTAACAAATAGTGTAATTTGTTACAGTCTTTCTCCAGATTCACCAATTATAAACATTTTACCCATCTGCTTTGCTGTTTTCTCTGTTTTTTTTTTTTCTAAACTGCTTAATACAAAGTAAAAATCAAAATCAACAAGCAACTATAAACCAGAGATACACTACGGTGGGGAGAGAGGCAGGGAGAGGAAGGACTAGGGTCAAAATAAGGGGGGGTGCAATTGTATGGGGAATATAACCAAAATGAAAATGCATACATTGTGCAAAAATGAAAAATGATGTAAGAATTATATAAAATAAAATATTTTTTAAAAAAGAAAAGAAAAGAAGTGGTGGTCACCATGCCCCATCACCGATTTCAGTATGCATTTCCTAAGAATATTTCCTAAGGACATTTCCCATAGTACAATTATCAAAGTTGGGAAACGTAACACGATCCGGTACTAAAATCCACATTCATTTTCAAATGTTGCTCATTGTCACAACAGGATCCTTTATTGCAAATTTTTTCTACCCATGCACTGTCATCATCACCCCTCACCCAAGCACACACCAATCCAGGATCCAATCCAGGACCCCACCTGATTGTCATATTGTCATGTCACTTTGGTTTCCTTTATTTCTCGGATTAATGTCTTTCATTAATCAAGTATCACTTGTATGGGCTGTAGCTTTGCCAGACAAGGAGAAAACTAACTTCTCTACTTTCTGTTGCCCTTTCAGCAGGACTTAGCTTGTTCCTGTGTCTGGATAATGCCCCGAGGGCTTAAAGCATCTGCCTCTCAGAATAAGGGCTCTCAAGCCCCCACTGGCTTCTTTAGGCACCAAAAGAAATGCCACTACATGTGACTTTTCTTCCCACCAGGTCTCTGTGCCCAGTCTCACCAACTTAATTCAACTTAAGCCCTTGCGGATTCTACGAGCACTAAGGCCCCTCCGAGCACTGTCCCAGTTTGAAGGAATGAAGGTACAATCTTCAGGTGGATGGGAGGGAGGTCAGCTAGCAGGAAAAGGCAGAGAGGCTGACTGCTATTCTTGGGCTGGGCTTCCCTTAAATTGCCAAGCTTTTCCTGGACTCCTCATCCAGCCCACCGCTCACAATTTGAGAGATAGATGGGCTCTGACTTACATCCCTATAGCAGGTGTCTCATAAGCCTAACACCATCACCAGAGAACATTTCTCAAGTGATACTCAGTCCTCAGAAAAGGGACCATCGTGTGTGGAGCTAAGAGCAGGGCTTGTCATGGGGGTGGATGATGGGAAGCCCGAATAGTAAGACAGAGCTCCAAGAGACCCAGCCCCACATATCAGGCCCTTCCTGAGAAGAAAGGAAACATCTGTTACGTTTTCCTTTGTTTTGTTTCCTTAAGGTGGTGGTCTATGCTCTCCTCGGTGCCATACCTGCCATTTTGAATGTTTTACTTGTCTGCCTCATTTTCTGGCTCATTTTTTGTATCCTGGGAATGAACTTATTTTCTGGACATTTTGGAAAATGCTTTGATCCAACAAATAGCAACTTAGAGATAAATTACAGCATTGTTGACAACCGAAACCAATGTAAAAGTAAAAATTTGTCCTGGGTAATCCACGAAGTCAACTTTGACAATGTAGGAATGGCTTACCTGGCCCTGCTGCAAGTGGTAAGTGTTGAATGGATGTTTTTCACATGGTGAGAAGTGAAAACTTAAAAACATCATAAGTGATTTCTCAACTAATAAAAATACAGTGACTTCTTTGAGATAGTAGAGTCAAATCCCAATTTTGCATGGGGGAGCCAAGGCCCTCCAGAACTGTTCCCCATTGAGCATCTCTGACTTAATTATCTACTGAGCCTCCACCTCCCTGTGATGCTCTTGCAAACATCTGTACATTTCATGCAGTCCTAGGTGGTGCCTTGCTGTCCAGAGCTCCAGTTAGAGAGGGCTGGGGCCTCAGATGGCAGACCACACTGTTAATAACAATTTAATGATGGAAGTCAGTCCCAGCTCAAATCAGGGTTGCCAGCCCTTGGACAGACTATGCAAACAGATGGCATAAGTATCAGCAGTTGGTCCACATCTAATATAGCAATTTTTAAGACAGTTTTTTTTTAATCCCTGGAATCATGTTTTTCCTCCTTCTTCCAGGTTAATTGAGAAATAATTGATTTACATTACTGTATAGGTTTAAGACTTACAGCATGATGGCTTGATTTACATACACTATAAAATGATTACGTCAATAGAGTCAGCTATAACAACCATTTTCTAATATAGAAACAATAAAAAGATAAATGAAAAAAAAATCCCCATGTGATAACAATAGCAACTCTTATTTCTTTTGTTTTTACACTTTTTATCTTGTATTCCCTCCTACTCTTCTTTGGACATTCTGTGTTTGGTGGGTAGGGTGCATGGCAGGGGTGGCACATCGTCTTATATACATCTGCGCACTGGGCCTTGCTTGCTTTTACATGACACTTGCCTGCTGATGGCAAACCTATAATTGCATTCATGTTCCTCTGCTTTTATTGCAGGCAACATTTAAAGGTTGGATGGAAATTATGTATGCAGCTGTCGATTCCAGAGGGGTGAGCTTGTATTCCACTTTGTTCTCGAGTATAAGGTCCAATCAGGAAAGTCATGACTACATAGATAGTCCAGATCTTCCTACATCACAGTTCCTGTGGGACAAACACAATGAAATAGGGAAGGGTGCTTGTTCACCCTCCCACAAGTATTTACATCCTAGCTTGCTCCAACATCCAGTCCTCTTTCTATCTAGCAACCAAAGAGACACCACTAAGGCAGGATAGGGAATCAAAAGCAGGAGAACCACAGGATGGCTTAATTTTCCTCACACTTCTTTAAAGGGTACTTATCAAGGGGTACTTGCCTTTGACTCTGGGAAAAACTTAAGGCTGGACTAGGTCAGCGAGAGAGACCCTCTCATGTCTCCAGGTTCTCTGGAGGCTGAGGGGAATTTTCATGGTTGCCAAATGTTAAATTCTGGTTAAATGAAAAGTGATCGTGGATGCCTAAGATTGGAATTGTACTCAGTAATCTAGCTTATTTCTATTTGCCACTTGGGGAAATTGAGGAATTGGAAAGAAGAGGGTTGTATAAAGTTATAGAGTGAGCAAATGGTTGAATCAAGAATGGCATGACCGTTGCTCATTTTTTTCCAATCATCACACATATGTGTTGTTGTTTGAAAGACTGCAGAGTGGACGCCTGATACATATTAGGTATTTAATATATGCAAGCTGGTAGTAGCAGAAAGGGTTATAAGTACTGTTATGGTAGTAGTAGAGGCAACTTATAACAAAGGAAATATTTTAAAATTGTAATTTACTCATTTTTTGGTCTGTTTTAGTACATGACTTTCACCCTCCTTTCCCTCAGGCATCCATCTGCCTTGAGGTGGAGATTAGGAAGGAGCAGTAATCTTAAGCAGATGTATAATAGGAGAGGTGTGGCTTATATATGTTCCCTGAGTGAATATAGCTTGGTGGAGGTATGTGTTGTCTTAATGTTGACCATGGAACATACTAACTGGTTTGTGATGGCTTCTAGCATGTGATGGCTCTTATCTATGTAGTCACAGAGCATTTTGATGGTCTCAAATATTCAAACTGTGGCTAATAAAACATGGTCTTTCTCAAACCCTCAACTACTTTTGGCCTCAAACACTGACTCCAAGCCACGTCTTCCACATGATCCCCTGGCCCAGCACACTGCTCCCATCTCTTGCTACTAAACCACCTTGGCAAACCCATGGCTCTGTCACATGAGAACTGAAAATGTTTCAAAACATTCCTATGTTCAGTTAGGCTACTCCACCATTTAAGTTATCCTGCTTGCCCAATGTATCCCAGGCCTTTCCCAGCAGCAGTTGAGGAAGAGCACCCTCCCTCTTTGTCTTCCATGTTCCCCTTAAATCACTTGGTCCCAAGTCTTCTCTCCAAACCCAAAGAAGGAAATTGAGGATGCACATCTCATGACTCTGATATTCTCTATTCCATTTTCTTACAATTCCCTAGGTATAAATGGGGTGAATTTTTGAACTTCCTACATGAACCTTCCTCTCCAAACCCCTCAATACTCTGGTTGTATTGAAGGAAGATATGAAGGAATTCAGACATTGCTGCTTTTCAAAGCAATAGCTTATTTTTGGCAAGATTATTAACCTACTGCATAACCTTATTTTATTTTATATTATTTTTGAAGATTTTTAAAAATTTATTCATGTGCCTACAAGAACTGGGGTATAGGCCAGATGTGCGGGAGGGTGAGAGGATAGACCAGAGACAGAGTGGGGAACAGAACAGGCAGACTGACTGAAATACACTTCCGAGGGGAGCAGCGGGCAAGACAGGAGCAGTCTGCCATGCAATATGGGTATCTCGCCGGCTGGCCGGGATTGAACCTGCACTGCAGAGACTGTGAACAGCTTCACAGCACTGCACTCAACCACTTGCGCCACCAGGGAGACCCTGCATGACCTTATTTTAAATGTCAGATGTTGAATATTAATTCTTTTCATTTCATTGGTTCTATGCTAATCTTAATTCAAACAAGTAGATGACAAAAGCCAGCTAGGACTAAGGTCAGGGACTCAAAAAGGCAAAAGAAAAAACTTTCAACTAACTGCCTCCATTACACTAGTCTGTATGGTGGGTGTTGAATAACAAATGTCATAAATATGTTCAACAAATGACAGAGCTATTAACACTCATATGTATATCTTTGAATATGATCAGGATACAAAAAAGGAAAGTCTTCCTGCCACCTAATTCCAAACTGCTTGAAGTCAATGACAATATAAAGACCTCAGGTGATAGGTATTTCATATGCTTTGGGTCACACCTTGAGCTATAGGAGCTTGGTTGTAGCTCCTTTATCTCCATTCTGGAACATGATCATTCATTCATTCACCATCCATCCATCCAACCATCCATCCATCCATCCAACCATCCATTTATTTGTAAATTCAGTATGTCTTGAGAATCTATCTGTTACAGATCTGCTAGGCAATAGGAATTTAAGAACCACAGACCAAATAGACTAGTGGACTCTGTATGAAGGCTATGGTCCCAAGTCTCCTCTCCAAACCGAGAGAGAGAGAAAACTGGGGCACACATCTCATGGCCTAGGTGTTCTCTATTTTTCAAGTAGTTGCTTAGGTATTGCTTCCCTCTCTTGTAACCCTTCAATAACTCTCCATTGATTAAAAGAAAAAACCAATCCTGCCACCTCCCTCTCCCCACTACATGGTACCTCTCAAGTTGTACTAGGGGAAACTGAAACAGGGGCTCCCTGCAGGGGCCCTGGCTGTTTAAAGGAGGCTGAGTACTTAGTGCTGGCTACTGCTGAGGAACTTTGGTCTTCTAGATAAGGCAGTTAAGATGGCTTATATTTTCCTCCAGTAATTGCTTTTTCCTTTTTTCATTTAAACCTCTCCCCCCACAGAAAGATAAACAACCACATTTTGAGGAGAATAAATACATGTACATTTACTTCATAGTTTTTATCATCTTTGGCTCATTCTTCACTCTGAACCTCTTTATTGGTGTTATTATTGACAACTTCAACCAACAGCAGAAAAAGATAAGTATTTTCCAAAGGGCATGAATGGAACATAATTCTGGCCTAGATTGCTGTGCAAAGTAGCCTTTATCATCTGCTTGAAAGCTAAGAGGGAGCCACCTAGAGAAGATTCTTGAAGATTAAGACTGAAAACAGCTAGGTTTTATTACATCTTTGTTGTTACTCTCCAGTCTAAGCTTCCTAAACACTGGACATTGTTATTGTTGAGATTAAAACAGAAATAATTGTACCCTAATAGAAAAACAACCACAGTGATTAGTATTTATGACACTATAGTCTATTCTGGTAAATTTTTCAAGTGTATTTTTTTATCCCAGGTAAAAAGAATGAATTCTCTTTTGGCAAATGTGTATTCTGGCTCCCTAGACCAAGACTCAGCAAATTTATTGAACCTAATTAGAAAGATCCTTGGGGAAGAGGCAGATTTAGAGGGAGATTATCTTCCCTTGAAGTATAACAAACATGTTTTACTTTTCTCATTCTAAAATGCATAAAGGCTGTGTAGTAGATTTAGAAAATAAGGATTAAAAAATGTTAATGACGCCTAAGGTGACTCCAAATGGTAACCAGTTTAAACTAAATCTCTTGTCATTTTGGCCCTTTCCAGTTACTTTTAACTATTTATTCCTTTCACATGGCTGAGAACATGTGCTACTTCCGAGTGTTGTCATTTCCCTTCTCCCCCATTAGCTGTGAGCCCATGGCAGGAAATCATCTTTGTTATAATAATTTTCAGAGAAGAATTACAGCCCAGTTATGGGTAGTTCATACTTTAGCCTAGTCATTCCCCTCTGTTTTGGACATTTGTGTCACTTCTAAGTGTTCTTATTGTTCCTCTTAAACAATCATAAATAGTCTTGAAATTCTATTATGTATCTCTGATTAGCTCCTGAAGGCATTAAGGATGTATTGTCAAATTACCTTTCAGAAATGCTGTGTTAGATATTCTCCGTTTGCTGGATATGAAAATACCTGTTTATTCTGTTTTCATACATCTGGTTTTTATAATTTTTATTGTCTTTTCTAGCTTGATGGGTCAAAGTGTTATCTCATTGTTCTATACTAATTTTTTGATTACTTGTAATCTTGTCACATTTATTTTTGATCATTTGATAATTTATATTCATTATTTGGATCACTGTGATTTCACAGGTTGATGACAATAGTTAAGAATTTTGTATTTAAAGCGCTTGTCTCTTTAAAATTGAGATTGTCTTCTTTTTTTAATCTATTGTAGTAAGTCAAATTGTGACTTGCTTCTTATATTTTCATACTGACATTTTTGACTTATAGACACTTAGCATTTTTATGAAGTCACACTCCCGGTCTTGTCTGTTTTGACTTCTTCCCTTGCATTAATGAACTGAAGGTATTTCTCCATTAAAATCAGGTTAATTAAATATTTGTCTTTGATTTTTTCAATTGTCTTATGATTTTAAAAACATTTATCTGTTCAAGACTTGTAATCCATCCGATATATATCTCTGTACTGATTAGCCTTTTTAGTGTGCTGGGAGAGTCATTCACTGTCCTCATGCACTTATATCCCTGCTGCTCAGGTGTAGTGTACTGTGACGAGTCACCTTGGTAATGTGCATCTTGATTGCAATCAACATGGCAATTTGGATATCAGGCCCTGTGATTTTAGATTCAAGTTTACATTTGAAATCACTGTTTTGCTCAGTCCATAGCATTTTGTATGTTTTGGTTTACATTTTATTACAGAAAATTTCAAACATGTACAAGAGTATTCTAAAATGAACCTAAAATGCCCAGCACAACATCTGTTGACTTAAGAAGATCATTTTGCCATCTATGTCCTTACCCAATCTTGCCACCAGATTTTTTTTTATAAGCAAATCACAGTCATCCCACCATTTCATCCACAGGTATTTCAGAATATATCTCTTTTTAAACATAACTACAATTCCATTATCATACCTAAAATGTCTAATATGAATTCTTTAAACTTGTCAGCTAATGTTAACTAACTAGTTAATTCATTAATGTCAACATTTGAGTCTTTTTCTTAAAATATTTTTTATTCATTCTTTCCTTTATTATTGGTTGGATGATTTATATGAAAGTTTGGTTCTTTTCCAAGCATATTCAAATAAAGACACTCCCATCTGATGACATTCATGCTCTTGAGAAGGGCAAGATGTTTTAGGCCTACATCATACTCTCCTGCCCCACATCTGATATCAGGCATCTCTCTAAAAAGTGCTGGGTTTGTTAAAGGAGATGGTATTACAAGACCACAATCTGGAATGCTGATTGTTTTCTGTGCTCTTTCAGTAACAGAGCTATTTCAAATTTACAACTACAAAATATATATATATGTGGAAGTATGAAGGCTGATCATGCAAATTCAAGACTATAATTTTTTTTTATTTAATCTCTTCTCTGATACATTTGTATCTCCTTTTTTCACACCAACAAAGTTTCTCATGGGAACCGGAGATAAGATGATAGCATTAAACATTTCCATACTTACTCATTTTCTTTACCCACTACCCACACATGTGACAGTCTCAGAATAATAGTTATCAATACTGTCATAATGCATACCAGGCATCCTGAAACAACCTGGTTAACTTCTAGAGCTATATTACTTCCTCTTCCTCTTCTTCTTCTTTTTTTTTTTTTTTACTGTGGTACAATACAGATAACATAAAATTACCATCGTAACCACTTTCAGTGTTCTATTCATTGGTGTTAAATGCATTCATAATGTTGTACAAGTATTACCACCATTCATCTTCGTAACTTACATCTTGTAAACATGAAACTCTGTACCCATTAAACAGTAGTTCTCCATTATCATTCCTCTCAGCCCTTTTCTCTCTCTAGGATTTTGACTATTCTAGAAACCTCATATAAGTCAAATGATATAGTATTTGTCTTTTTTGTGACTGGCTTAATTCATTTAACATAATATCCTCAAGGTTCATCAATATTCTTATGATACTTATTGTATCATACTCCTTTTTAAAAGCTGAATAATATTCTATTATGTATATTATAAATACATATACATCACATTTTGTTCATCCTTTCATCCATTGATGGACACTTGGGTTGCTTCTACATTTTAGCTATTGTGACGAATGCCACTATGAACAGAAGTGTGCAAATATGTCTTTGAGACCATACCTAGAATTCTTTTGTATGTGTGCCCAGTATGTTGAGTAATCAAGATACTGTTTCCATCACAGCTGTGTCATTTTACATTTCCATCAAAAGTGCACAGAGTCTGATTTCTCTATATTCTCATGTTTGTTTTTGGTATTTTTTTATGGTAGCAATTCTAATGGGCATGAGGAGGTTTTGTAATTTTGATTTGCATTTCCCTGATGATTAGTGATGATTAGTATCTTTTAATATGCTTTTTAGCCATGTGTATATCATCATTGGAGAAATGCCTGATCAAAGTCTTGTGCCCATTTTTGAAAGGCATTGTTTAATTGTTGTTGAGTTTTAGAAGTTCTCTATATAATCTGGATATTACTCCCTTATCAGATATATGATTTTCAAATATTTTCTCATCCTAAGGGTTGCCTTTTTGATAGTGTCTTTTGATGAATAAAATCTTTAAATTTTTGTGAAATCCAATTCGTCTATTTTTTCTTTTGTTACCTGTGATTTTGGAGAAAAGAAATCATTGCTGAGCCTAGTGCTATAAAGCTTTTATTATTTTAGATCTTACATTTAGGTCTTTGATCCATTTTGAGTTAATTTTTGTATGTGTTGTTAGGAACTGCATTCATTTGCCTGTGGATATCCAGTTTTCCCAATACCATTTGTTCAAAAGATTGTCCTTGGGCTCTGCACTTTTAGTTCACACTGGCAATGTAAATGAAAACCCTCACACCTTCAAAGTAGGTCTGTATTCGCAAATTATCAGGGAAGAATGTGATAACCCATAGTACAGACAGAGACACTTTCCTTGTCTTCCATTGCCAATACACACATTCTTTTTTCTTCTTCATGTTTTCATTGGTAATGCTTACAGAGTCCCGCATTCATGAAGGGACCTTGACATAAGCCCAATGACTTTTTTTCCATTACCCCTTGTGATTATTAAAGCCTAAGAGTTTAGGTTTCATAAAGATTAGCAAAAGCTGTTACTCTTCTCTTTATTATTGTTCTTTACTCTTCTCTTTATTATTGTTCTTGGTTTACAGACCCTAAATAGTTTCCTTACTTTTGCATAAAGTTCAACTATACATACAAAAAGAGTTCTTTTCTACTTAATCCAGCATTTCTAGATATGGTTTCTTCTCCAACTGTGCAGAAATGTAAATCCTAGTTCGGCTTTATATTCTTTCTTGCTCAGTAGTGAAAACATTCAAAACTCTTTTTTTTTCTGAGAATGACTCTGAACATATTTTACATCATAAAATATGTAATAGTGATATATGTATTCATTTGTTTAGAAAATTTTCAGTTACCACTTTGTGGGATTTAAAATTTTTTTCATTATTTTGTCAGGCATTTACATAACTATATAATTTTGGGCACATTTTTGTTAGTCATTTCTATTTTTGTTTCATTCTACTTCAATTTATGTAAGCTGAAATATATTCATTTTTATAAAATTTCTGTTGATGTTTACAAAGAATTTATGATCTCTGTTTATTTTATAAAGGTTAAAATTAACCTTATTTTTTCCTTATTCTATAATTTAAATCTTGTTTCCTTGCAGTCCTCCCTGAGTCCAGCTGCTTTTGCTTCCCATTAGAATTTTAAGAATGCTAATATAGCTTTAAAACTATTTCTTAAAATGCTGAACTTGTTTTCATAAAACTGTTAATGATAATTAGCTCTCATCTTCTTCAAATACTTAGGTGGCCAAGATATTTTTTTGACAGAAGAACAGAAGAAATACTATAATGCAATGAAAAAACTGGGATCCAAAAAACCTCAAAAGCCAATCCCAAGACCTCTGGTAAGAACAATTGATTGATTTTAAATACATGGATCCATTAAGTAGTTATGAGAAACGCAGATGTCTGCAATGCTATTCTCCTTTCCTTTTAAATTTACAGACATTATCTAAGAACTCAATAAAACCCAGATATACTGGTGTTTGGCACAAGGCCTTACAAAAATTAGACAGTCAGATTCAATAGCAAGAGTCTAGGAAACAGCTTTAATTTTCTCTTTAGTGAGTGCACAATATGTGCTTAGTATATATTCACTGCAATGACGTGAACTTAGCAGTTTGTTTTAACTTAATCTTGACCAATTTAAAATGTATTTATACTATCTTTTATCAACATTTTCTGGCGTGAAATTGAAGTCATGCCTCTTCACTTCCACTTCACAAGGACTTATGATAAACTTTCTATATCAGGAGTTGACAAACTTCTTCTGTAAAGGGTCAGCCAGTAGATATTTCAGAATTTGAAGGTCACATGGTCTTTGCTGCTACTACTCAACATTGCCATCACTGCACAAAAGCAGCCAATAATGATCTAGAACAGATGTACATGGCTATGTTCCAATACAACTGATTTATGGAGGCTAAAATTTGCATTTCATATAATTTTCATATGTCAAAATCTCTTGAGTTTTTCCCCAAACATTGAAAAATGTGAAATCTATTCTGAGTTCACAGGCTACACCAAAACAGGCAGTGGGCCAGCAGTCATATTTTGCTAAACCTTGCTCTCTGTGAATCCTATTTTACCAGGTACCAAGATAGAAACGACTCCCAAAGCTGTTTTGGTGTTGCAGTCTAGTTGAGGAACTGGGATTTGGTAGCACTACATTATAAAGTAGTACAACAGGCACAGTTGGTAGCTCTGACAAGTGCGTTTGAAGACTTCAAAGCAGAAAGGGCTGTTGGGAGCCAAAAAGTTGGAGAAAGCAAAATGAAAAAGGGGCTTGAGATCTGAAGCATGTAGAGAATATGAATATTTTCATTTGAACAGTAGACCCAAATTTATCAAATATTTATTTAATTTGCTACTATTCCCAGCACTCAGAATAGAGCCTGGCATAACAAATGTGCATGGTAATTGTTTATTGAATGAGAGACTTATGTTTTAGGGCACAGACAGAGTACATCCCACTAGGTTTAAACATTTGTGTTGCACTAAAAATGTTTGTGCATGCCGGGGCCAGGTGTTTAGAATGTACACAATGAAGAATTTTTGATGAAGAGATTTAATGATAAAGTTATATTTGGGGAGGTTTAAGCTGTCAATAGTATGTCGAATTTCAATTTATCTAAGTCAAATGTAGCTTTTGTACCAATCTCATTTTCTCATACTAATTTGAAGTTCCTATTTGAACTTGAGCCAACTAAAGAGACAAAGTGAATTTTTATTTACATATGAATGCTGTACTATCAGTGCCTTAAAATACTAGTTGGTCACAGATTAGGAATTAACTGAAACTCACAAAACACACGATGTTCCCACATATTTACCAGTTTATTTCACGAAGGCTTCTAAGCTTCTAAGCTTCTCCTCTGCCCTGGATATATAGTAGGCTACAAGGTGAGCTTGAAGTTGGCGTGGACTGCTGCACCACAGGGAAGCTGCCACCTCCCTTCCTTGAGTATAGCATGTTTGTTATATGGCTCATATGGGAGCAGGTGACACCCCACAACCTGCCTTGTGTAATTACAGCTCGGCAATCAAGGCTCCACAATGAATGATTGCAACAGCCAAGTCATCTCCTCAGTTAATGCTTCACATTAATCTTCTGTGTTCCAGAGAGCAGTGTTGCATGAGACAAATCCAACCTCATATCCTCAGATGTTCATGACTTTGAGTTGAGACTTCAAATCAGCTGTTGGCTCTCACATCACACTTTTACTTCCTCACAAATTTTTAAAAATCTCTAAAAACCTGCTTCTGTAAAGTGACACATTTTATTCCCAACAGTAGAGCAAGGAATTGGAATCCATTTCTGATTCTTCCTAAAGCAACCCCACAGGGTGACTTCATTACTGAGTTTAAAAATGACACTATGGTACAGGAGTCATTGTACATTCTAGAGTGACATAGAATGTTTTTTGATTAGTTATCACTGTCGGTAACTTATGCTTGTCATCTCCATTTGTCTAAATATTTGAGTTGAACTATAAGATTAGTGCTTATGTTTATTTATTCTCAGCCCTCATTCCTCTTCCCTACAGAGACTTTCAAGTTTCTTATCCAGATTCTTTGATTAGGTTTGAGGGTTCCCAGCTCAAAGTTTGAAAGATACCAAATTATGTATAAACCCCTTCAGTGTTATCCCTACCTGCATTCTTCTCACACCCCTGCTCCTCCTAAGTTATATAGTTTGCTCTTATAGTTTTAATTCATATCAGTATTGCTATGGCTCCCTGGATGCCCTACTAACACCTCAAACTCATCGTGATTAAGATGATTTCATCATCTTCCTTTAAAGTGTCCATCCTCTGCTCTCTGGTGGGTTGAATGGCTCACCAAGTGAAAATGACAGTCTCAGCTTTAACTTTTTCGGTTCAAATACTCTCTGACTTCTGTTTCTATTTCCACATTAACTCTTAAACATAAATACTTATGTCTTTCTCCATTGTTACCATCACAAACCAACTTCATCCTTTGCCCAAATTACCATAACAAATGTCTAGGGGATCTAGACAGGAACTCCTAGGGATCTGTGAGTTTTTTAAATACAGCAGTATATGCATACTTTGAGAGGTGGTAATATGATATAAAATAATCTAATATATATATATATAAATTTTGTAAAACAACCAATATGTAATCAAGGATGCCACTTAATATCAGTATTTGAGTTTGTATTTAAGGACAGTTTCCCATTAGGTAAAGAACAAAGTAGTACTTCATAGCAGTTAGATTAAAGGAAATAGCGAAATAATTGAGTCAATTCATTGCACATGGTGGGTTAAACATGCAGATTTCATGACCTGCACTAGAGCAATTAGCAAATACTCACTTTGTGAAGCAGTTTAGCCATCTGTGTATAAACCAATATGCAAGTTCACCATCAATAATAATATGAAATAATCCATTTTTCTGCTTCCATTTTTTAGTCATCATTGGGTCAGTTTCCCATTTATATAGCCTAATCTTCAAGTGAACAAAAATTTGAAAATTGGCATTCAGAATTGCTTGAATACAGAGCTTTGTCTAAGTATTAGATGTGATAATTCTGAATGTACTGATGGAATCTTGGAGATGTTAATTTCGTGTTGTTCAAAATAATTGTGTGAGTAGGTATTCTCTGCATGGATATTATTGATTTCAAAATACAGCAACAGACAAAATATACAGACCAAGGTTCATTTTTTTTATTATTAAATCCAACATGGGATGTTTTATTTCAGTAAAATAGCATCATCAATCACATCAAAGTTATATTGTTTCTAAGAATTTTTTATTTACATTTTTTGTTTTAAAATGGAATTAAAGGCGTAGCCTAATCAACTTAAAACCAATTATCTGGGCCTCCCCTGGTGGTGCAGCAGTTGAGCGCTGGGCTGCGAAGCTGCCTGCAGCCTCTGGAGCGCCGGTTCAATCACCCGCCCCCGGCGAGGGTCCCACATGGCACACAGACATCTCCTGCCGCACCCGCTGCTCCCCTCAGCAGTGTATTTCGTCGGTCTGCCCGTTCTGTTCCCCACCCTGGCTCTGGTGGATTCTCTCACCCTCCCGCGCTTCTGACTATACCTAGTGCTTGTATAAATAAGTAAATAAATCTTTAAAAATAAAAAATAAAAATTAAAAAAAACCAATTATCCAATTAAATTTAAATGAAAAATACATATAAGAGTTTCTTGCCATTTAAAAGAATCTCTGAATTTTTCAAGACTGTTTTAATTGTGAGAGAACAAATTCTGTTGTATGAATGTGCTTTTTTGATGCATGTGATCTAATTCTTGCAACTCAAAATGATCAATTATTCCTCTTTTTTCTCCTTCAGAACAAATTCCAGGGTTTTGTGTTCGACATCGTGACAAGCCAATTCTTTGACGTCATCATCATCAGCTTCATTCTCCTCAACATGGTTTTCATGATGGCTGAGTCACATGATCAGTCTGACCATGTAGAATCCACCCTTGAGCATCTCAACCTGGCCTTTGTGGTCATCTTTACATTTGAGTGCCTCATCAAAATCTTTGCTTTGAGGCAATTCTACTTCACCAATGGCTGGAATTTATTTGATTGTGTGGTTGTGGTCCTCTCTATTGTTAGTAAGTAAAATCGGCAGCCAGAGGAACTTTGATATGAAAGCCAAAAGTAAATTTGTGAATAGTATCATTAGGAAATATGTTCTGACTACCCATAAAACAACAAATTAAGCTTGCCGTGGTTTCCAAAAACATAGGTGAACTAATACCATTCTCTACTTGAAGGTTGCTAGGATATGGAAAATAATTTCCATCCCTTGACTGTATACACAATTGAAATAGAGTTAAATAATTATGTGGATCATTTATTCAATAGAGATAGACAAAATTAAGATGACTGAAAGTTTTGGGGCAAGTACCTGGGTTACCCAGGTAATTAAGTCAAAGTTGTACTTTTCCCATGCAACTATAAACCCTAATGCACATACTATAGTTTGAAGGATTTGACATTTAGTTTCCATCTTTTTCCTTAATTCAAAGTCCATGAGAATGCCAGATTACAGTGACATTGCAGGATCTTCCCTTACCTCCTATACAAATCCTCTATGGCCCAATCTAGATTGTGGTTCAAAAGTGTGACATAAGGCAAGCAGTGATTTCTCTTTTTTCTAGAATCCACGTTAACATAGACCACAGTGTGAACTATACTTGTGTCAACTACTTATACACCTGTTAACCAACCAGTCTCATTATGTAACCAGTCTATTTCCTCAACCATAGGCAGGATGAACTATAATGGGAGGAAAAGGAATAAAGAAGAGAATTATTGCCAAAAGCCTCTTTATAAAACACAAACAGACATACACACACACTCACACACCAACTCTGGAATTAAATTCTTCAATGGCAAAACCATAAGAGTTTACTCTGGATTTTTGAAGCCTGCTTTAATTAAATTGATAATTTGACATTTTATAATTATGTGAAAATGCCCCTGGGCCCTACTTATAGTTCAAAAAGCAACAAAGACAAAGACAACTGATTTTGCAAGTGGAAGCTTTGTGCTTTCTTGGAAAGCATGCATTAGCATCTAAGTTAGATCAAAATATTTTGGTTCTTCATGATAGCAATGCAGATGTTTTAGCAAGCAATTTCAGTTTGTTATGGTTTCTAAGCCATGAATTTTATGTAGATAAAGTTTAGCAATATACCCTTCTACGTACTTACAGTTATGTAAGATACACTTCAATATTTATTAACTCCAATCACAAGTCCTGGTGAAATTGACAACAGTAATAAAGTTAAAAAATGGTGATGGGATGAGTCTGAGGAAGTCCTCTGAAAGCTTAAAGAACTCGCCCTCTAATCTGCAAAGAAACACTCACTTATTCCACTATTCATTGAACTCTTCCCTGGCAGTGCCAGACTTTGCATGTTTGAGGAAATATCTCTCCTTGATTTTTGACAACTGCCAGGCAATTATAGTTACACTCATAACACTGTATGACATTTTGCTACAATGAATGAAACAATCCATATATTAAGTCAAATCCTACTCATCAATGTTGGCAGCATTTTACATGCCTTTGCCAGGAGGTCTGCCATCCAACACTTAGCCTCTACATTGTCCCAACCTCTTGGTTAAACTTTTAGAGAATATAAAACCAGTACAATCAAAATGAATCTTTAGGATTGAAGCCTGCTTTTAATTAAACCAGTTGAGATATTCAGACTTACTATATTGAGTCAAAAAAAGATAGAGAAATTGAGTACCAGATCGCAGTCTAATAGAACTGAACTCAGAGAAAGGACAGATTACTATGGGTTTATGCAAGAAATATGCATACAAGATGTGGGCCTTTAAAATGAGCCTCCTCCGGTTGTTATTGAATGGATGCTTTAATAAAGTCCACATCCCACAGGGTTGACTGCCCAATTCACATATGAATTAGACTTCTTTGGCACCAGTTATTAAGTATGTCATCAACTAGTTCTCTTTAGTCATTAGGTGATGGCAGATAACTTTGACTGCCCATCATCCCCTAATGACCTCAGAGGACCCTCAGAGCAAGAGCAAGGCCATGTCTACACAAGGCAAGCATGTTCCAGCCATTCTACAATATTTGGGCCAAAATGTGCGTTGATTTAAATCCTTGTATCACTTGCCTGCATAACAGGCAATGAAAGAACAGGGTGACATTTTAGGCCAAATATTAAGTTGTTTGTAGACACCTCTGCTTGAGATGACATTTCTTCAGTTTACTACCTTAAACTTTTTGAGTTTGACCTCAGGAGTCCTTGGAATGAATGTATTGACAAATGTGAGAGGTCCATGGCAGCTTCAGCTCAGAGATGAGCATCTTCAAACCATATTCTTCCAGTGCTATCCTTACTATGTTCTAATTCCTTTATACAAATAAGGAACGTTGGGGTTAGGGGTTCTGTAATTTCTATTGACAGCTGAGGTTTCCAGTGAACCTTCAGATGTAGAAATTTCTCCTTGCACTCTAATCTGAAAGATTCTATCTGTAGTTTATCTGTTTTCCATCATTTTTATCCACTTTAAAAATGGAAGACTAATATTTGTTACCCCATAAGTAACCTTAAATACCCAACATAATATTTTACTTCAAGTGCATGTGATAACTCACAAAATAGCCTTTTATAAACCATATTCTCTTTCCTTTTTTTAAGTGTCTCAATAATTTAGATGCCTTGGAACCCATCTAAAATTGTATGCCCTTGGAAATTACTTCCCAGTTAAGGCATAGATAGATATATTCCCTAATAGTAGTAAAAAATTATTACTTTTGTGCATAAATTACAAAGTGTTGATAAAAAAAATGGTCCTGAAATGCCAAGGCAGGAGAGACAAACTGGGGCTGAATTCATCAACTGCTGCTTGCTGAAATTGATTGACACTTCTCCTTCTGCTAAGGTTCAATAGTTACTGCCTTGGGAAAGAAGCACATTCCCTTTCCTCCGACGCTCCTCAGAATTATCCGCTTGGCCCGGATTGGCCGAATCCTAAGACTCGTTCGGGCAGCTCGAGGAATCAGGACGCTCCTTTTTGCTCTGATGATGTCACTTCCTTCTCTGTTCAACATTGGCCTTCTCCTCTTTCTGATAATGTTTATCTATGCCATTTTTGGTATGAAATGCTTTAGTGATGTGAAGTTAGAGGCTGGCGTTGATGACATATTCAACTTCCAAACTTTTGTTGGTAGCATGCTCTGTCTCTTCCAGATAACCACATCTGCAGGCTGGGACAGTCTCCTCAGACCCATGTTGCGAGAAGGCACGCCTGAATGTAACCCCGAAATTCAGAACTGTAGCCGCTCTGCCATAGCCACAGCCTACTTCGTCAGCTACATCATCATCTCCTTTCTCATTGTTGTCAATATGTATATTGCTGTGATTCTGGAAAACTTCAATACAGCCACTGAAGAAAGTGAGGACCCTTTGAGTGAAGATGACTTTGAAATATTCTATGAAGTTTGGGAAAAGTTTGACCCGGAAGCAACACAGTTTATCAAATATTCTGCCCTTTCTGATTTTGCTGATGCCCTTCCTGAACCTTTGCGTGTGGCAAAGCCAAATAGATTTCAATTTCTAGTAATGGACTTGCCCATGGTGGATGGAGATCGCCTCCACTGCATGGATATTCTCTTTGCTTTCACCGCAAGGGTACTCGGGGACTCCAGTGGCCTGGATAGCATGAAAGCAATGATGGAAGAGAAGTTCATGGAGGCCAACCCTTTCAAGAAGTTATATGAACCCATAATCACCACCACGAAGAGGAAGGAAGAGGAAAGATGTGCTGCTGTTATTCAAAAGGCATTTCGAAATCACAGGGTGAAAGTGACCAGGTGTCTGTTGGAAGGCAGACCTCAAGCCGCTCTCCAGACTCTCTGCAATGGAGACTTGCCCAGCTCCGGGGTAACTGAGGGCAAGGTCCACTATGACTGAGCCCATCACATCCACCCTTACCTTACAGCCTTCTCTCCAGGCTCTGAGCTACTGGGGGTCCACAGCTCAGTAGAAGAACAAGCAGTGGACTCATGGAACAGGCCATTGTGCTTTTCTGACTGAAAGAAATGATATTTCAGTGTTCACTTCAAGTGATTCTTGCAGAGATACAAAATAAGGCTGTTAACATCTGGTAGTGTTTAATAAGTAAGAACATACTAGAGAGTGCCGTGGAGGGCACACTAATGTTAGGATTGGAAACACAATTCAAATTATGTCAAAATAAAAGAACAAGAACTAAAAAAAAAATAAAAAATTGAAATTGTGTTTTCCCATGTTTCTAGGTACAATATCCAATACTTTGTCTCGTGCTTTTCCCAATGCAAGTATGTGCTTTATCACATGCAGCTATTTTGCATGTTAAGTGAAAAATCAAAATCTGCCAATAAATAAGCAGCTTATTGCAGATTTGTTTTTACCAACATTAAATATTTGGGGTTTATTTTCAAGCCTAATGTGATCTTCGTTTGTCAATTACCACCCTATCTTTCACCAGCTACAATCTCTGTTATATAAATTTGGAAAAAAATAAATAAATGAGACTTTCAGTTTACACTTCATTCAAATTGTATACTAAAAATATTCCTTGTTTTGTATGTCATAGTTTAATGTGATGCTTTATTTGAGATTAAAGATTGGAGCCAGTGGTTTTGCTGATGAATGTATAACAGTTGACTCTTCAGGGAAAAAAATGATTTGCAGCATTTACTGATTTCTGTGGTATGAATACTGCTATTGTGGCTGATTTTAAGCATCTGATGTTAACTGAATATGGAGTTGGGGAGAGAGGCTCGCAATCAGATCCCGTGAACCGGCTCTTCCTGGATCCAGTGCATCACTGGCTGGCACCATTAGAAAGTCTCCCTTAATTCTGACTAAAATGTCTGCAGTGGGCACCTTGGAGAGTGTGTCCTCTTAGCAACACTTGGAGCCCAGGTATGGGAGCCATAAGACATGGTTAGAAGTGATTATAGCCATCTGTTGAGCCCTACACTCAGTTCTGGCTGGATGTCTCCTAGAAATGTAGCCCAGAGAACAATTTTAATCTGCAGAAAGACCCGACCTCAGGTGTAGTCCATGACTGCCCTAAAGACTGGAGATCCCCAGATCTGATACGATATCAGGTTGTCAACCCCCAAAGAGACTGGACAAAGACTTTACATTGTGCTAATCTAGGTAGAGGAAAATCCTGCAGAAATAGCCCTGGAATTCTACACCTTTAGACAGGTGGGGGCGCTGGCATGTCTATCAGCAACCTGGATTCTGTGAGATCCAAGACTCTGCCCTGCTCCTTGCTGTACATCTGTACCTCTCACTAACTCAACGAGGAAGGGACATCCCAGTGAGTGTGATCACTCACCTGATGGAGCCAAGCTGGGAAAGGGGAATAGGTGGTTTCAGAACCAGAAAACTTTGAGGCAGAGGCTCAGGGACTTTGTTCAGGGCTTAGAGAGCCTTGTGACAATCACCAGTTCTAGAGTCATGGCCAGTTCTGTTTGAGGTTTCCCTAAAGATGCCTCTGATTATGAATCTTACAGATCCCTACTAATTTTTCTGAAAATGATGACTAACCAGCATTCAAGTAGGCAGGCAGAGGAAGATCTAGAAGGATATGGTCTTCCCCATCCAGATTACAATTTAGGGGCTTGGATGCAATCTGTTCTGTACAGAAACACACATCTGTTGACTCCAGAGTGTCCCCTGTCTTCAGGGTTGTATTAATAGAGCCAGCTGCTGGGGGGAAATCACAGGATCTGCTTGACTTTAGCAAGAGGCTGAGCCAGCCTTCCTTCACTAGGTGGCAGCAAATGCCCAACATGTTCTTTTTCGAGAATGTCACAGCATCTGTGTGTGAACCTAGCACTCAAAGAGCCGGAGGGCTAAGGAAGAAGTGCCAAGACAAAAAGTGCTAAATTTCCTAAATCCTGAGATGTGATGGAAAGCTCATACTGCCCAAAGATACCTCTCACTATATGTGGGCCCAGTATTCTCCCAAGAGGCATCAGATGCTGGCCTGGGCTCTATCCTCCTGGGGACCAGACTATGTGTTCACAGGAAATGTGTACAACATATGAAACCAGTCCCTTGTCCTTTGAGTCTTCTCTTCTTCAGATAAATCAGCCCCTACTCAGTTCAATCCATGAACATGACCTGAGGGTCAGTGCTACATCACCTTGTATAAACTATTTCAAGCCAATGGCTTTCAGCCACAAGAACACATGTGCTAATTTGGAGGAGAGTGAGACAATATTCAGTGATGATAATACCATGCAGTGTAACAAGTGGCACAAACGAGTACTGCACCTCTGTCCTGAAAGTGTGAATCGAGCAGGCTCTCAAGAAGGCTTCGCCAGGGAAGGGACGGAGTGTGGGAAGCATCTGAGGTGAGCTTGTTAGATGTATAGAATTTTGACAAATGGAGGTGATTCAGGAGGATGTTTGAAGTGGAGGAGAGGACATAGCACCATGGGGTGCAGAGTGCAGAAAGTGCAAGGAAGTACGAGCTGCCCACACACTGGCCATAGAGCACAGAGTGGAGCAGCAACTGAATCTTAGAAATAGACTTTTTTTTTTTTTGTGAGAGCCTCAAATGCCAGTGTAAGGAGTTATACTTCAGCATTAGGGAGTCATGGAAGGTATTAGAGGAGGGGAGAAAAATTTAACAGACAGGTTAATTTATACAGAGGAGAATGGAGGAAAGAGAATCCATAATACTAGTTCTGGTGGGAAAGAGACATGGAGTGAGGAGGGAGGCAGGGGCAAGGTGGTGTGACTAGGATGCTGTGACAACTGAATGTCCTGGGGAACCTTAGGATTTTGGGTCAGGGTGACCAGATGGATGGCAGTACAGGGCACCAAGTTAATGAGTATAAGAAGAACAAGGGGGTTTGTGTTTTGTTTTGGCTTATTTTTAATGATTTTTATGGCTAAGGAAAAAAGAAAATCTAAAAATCAGTTCCTCTTTGAATATTTTAAAGGTTTAAGATGCCAGGTCCAAGTGACGATGTCCATTCAGACCTGAAACGTGAGGGCAGACATGCACAAGGTGACACTTGAAACCCCAGGAGCAGATCTAGGAGGCGGAAGATTTGTCCTGAGGGCATGCCTTCAGAGGATAAAGAGGAGGAATCAGACAGTTCAGGGAAGACTGGGGAGGTAAGTGAAGGTGCATCCAATGACATGTAGGCACAGAGACATTCACAGACAAGGTGAGCTTGATGGTCTCACCTTTTTTCCTTTCCGCCAAGATGCATGAAAGGAGCCAGGGCACAATGTGGTTGAATTCCAGAAAGGATTCTACTCCCTGCTTCTCTAGTTTTTTATTAGGCAAGGGTGAGAGCTTGCCTTCTAAACAACCCAAGTTCAGGAGCCAGATGTTTCAGGAAGCTGTCTTGGAATGTCAGCTACTAGCACCCAGTGCCCTTGGGGAAGCTGAATTCCTATACAGCAACTCTTGCTCAGGGAGGGGAGTCACTAGTTCCTGATAGCTTGTTGCCTGGCAACACAGATAGCAGCCGCAGGGCCATTCAGTGGGCAATCCCGTGCCTCCTGCAAAAGGAGTAATCAAACATGCAGTGCGAAAACAGGTACTAACATTTACTGAACACTTATTCTGGACTTGGTAGCCACTTCATCCACATTGCTTTGTTTAATCTTCACAGCAGCTCTATACATAGAAACTATTTTTAACCTTTGTTTATTCATAAGAGGAAACTGAGGCATGTAAAGTAATTAAGATACTTGTACAAGGTCACAGTCAATAAATGGTCTGACAGGATTCATATCCAAGCTGTCTGCGTCCAGAGCACACCACCACCACACTGTCCACAGACAAGAAGGGATAGTGTGACTAGTTTGAAAGGAGGGTACAGAGACTTCGTAGTAATGCCTGCAAACCTTTCATCATCCGTTTCTTCTCTTCTGAAGATAACGCATGTTTTCAAAGTTCTTACAATGTAGAAACCTGCATTAGGAAGACAGTGTGCTCTTTCTCCAAATTTAACATCTCAGTTCTATCAAGGTACTCAGGCCCATAATATTCTGACATAGTTTCTATTCTTTTGCAATTCTCTCCCTCCTTCTCCAGGGAAAATCTGGCTTATCTATTTCCTCTAACACTTGATACCCAGGAGGCAAGATGGGATTGCCTTCTCCTTTTGGAAAATATACTTCTACTAATGTATATTAAAAGTGTGCTAGTCAGGGCCTCCCCGGTGGCGCAGCGGTTCAGCGCTGGGTTGCGAAGCTGCCCGCGGCCTCTGCGACGCCGGTTCAATCCCCGGCTGCTCCCCGGCCACCAGAGGAGGGTCCCACATGGCGCGCAGACCTCTCCTGCCGCCCGCTGCTCCCCTCAGCAGTGTACCTCGGTCCTTCTGCCTGCTCTGCTCCCCGCTCTGGCTCTGGTGAATTCTCTCACCCTCCCGCGCTTCTGACTGTACCCAGTGCATGCATAAACAAAAAACAAACAGACAAACAAACAAACAAATAAATAAATAAAACATGCCTCTAAAAAAAAAAAAAAAAGTGTGCTAGTCAGAGAGTGGTGATAACCAAGAGGTATTATAGAGGTGCCAATTTAGTTTCCCTTCATCTCCATCAGTTCCCCAACCCAAGTCACTCTGGACAAGCATAAGGTTAAATACAAACTTGGACCCATGCCAATCAACTTCAAGTCGCCTTATTTCCTCTCCATACTCTAAGCTCTTTCTATATTTTAAAATCACTTCTGGAGTAAACCAGGCTTAACTCTAACCCTAACCCTTCATGATTAAGTTTCTAGAAACTTACACATTTTTTCTAAGTTATTTAATTTGCTAAATCTCCTCTTTTTTCTTTTAAAGATTTATTTATTTATGCATACAAGAACTGGGGTACAGGCCAGAGATGCGGGGGGTCAGAGGATTCACCAGAGACAGAGTGGGGAACAGAACAGGTAGACTGACTGAAATACACTGCTGAGGGGAGCAGTGGGCGAGACAGGAGAGGTCTGATGTGCCATGTGAGTAGCTCCCTGGATGGCGGGGGATTAAACTCATGCTGCAGAAGCAGTGGACAGCTTCATTGTGCAGTACTTAACCCTTTGTTTCACCCACCAGGGAGGTCCTGTGTCTCCTCTTTTATTAAGTTTATTTATCTGAGTCCTCTCGCTTTTTTTTTTTTTTCTTGATTAGTCTAGCTAAAGGATTGGTCAATTTTATTTTCCAAGAAAATAACTATTAATTTTACTGATTT